AATTATTTAACTGCAATAGAAAGCCAAAAACCCATTATCCAACCATTTAATTAGTAGAACAAAAAACGATAAATTTTTCTTTTTTTTGAATTTGCCTTTATGTGGTTCATTTTTTTCGGAAAAAAATGGGATTATTTATTTCAATAAAACAGCGATTTTTTTCTGAACAAATCAATCAAAACTTGAAAAAAAAGAGTTTTTTCCCTCTTTTTTTCTTAACTTCCAGATTAGGTCCAATTCCTTGATAGCCCTGGATAAAGCTACAAATTTTCAGTAATAAAAGTTATATAAATATTGATATAATTTACTATATACAAATTAATATTATTACTATCAAAAAACTATACAGTAAAAAGTGTTGATAACGAACTTTTTAAATTTTTTATTTATTTCATTTTAACTTGATTGATGAAATTAATACTTTCAACTAATTATAGTAAAATTATTATAAAATATAGCTTATTACAGTAAGGTACTATCAAGTGTAATTATTATTATTTTGGCAATAATGATACATTATTTGTATTATTTCATCTATCTGTAAACAATCCTGACAACCGTTCTTTACGCTCAATTATAAATTTGTATCGATTGAATTAACACGTATTAAACTAATACAGATACTAATAAGTTTATTATTATTTTTACCATGAAATAGTGTCTTTTATTACATTAATATTATTTTAAAAAAAGAAAAGTACTTTACTTGTAATGTGAATAAACCACCTCCTTTCTTGCACTTTGGTGCTGTGCAGAGTCTGTTTAAGTTGAAATAAAAACAAATAATAATAATAATAAAATAATAAGTCTAATTGATATTTCAAAATAATTGAGTTGTTTTTTAAATTTTCATATCAATTGACTGGCACTAACATAGCGTCTTATAATCGGTTATTATTGTTTGTGTAACAATTGATTTATTTCGTTTATATGGTGTATTGACAATGTATTGTGTCTTTTTTAATAAATCAAAATAAATAAACCGTAGTTCAAAAGATTATTTGTGATGGATCTTAGGCAAAGAGTATTCAGGTGTATATTATTTTAATACTTAATGACTAAAAAATGATATGATTAAAAAGTATTTTTCTATGTTTTTCTAATACTGAAGAATAATAATTACACAATTGAATGAAAGTAAATAGTTCAAAAAAGATAATTAAATATTCTTCTTATTAACTTTTAATTTAATTAATAAAATAAAGATGGTTTATTTAAATAATGGATTAATAACGAATGTACCACAGTTTTAAATTACACAATTAATAATATTTATTACATTTTTTTCTTTTTTTAAAGTGGTTCGAAATATTTTAAAAAAGGTCGATCTCAATATTCTATCTTGTTCATGGATACCACAACAAAAAACCTGGTTTTAATCCTTATCCTCCAGGTGTTTACCATGCTTGGCTTTTATGTGGCAACACAAACAACGTTTTTAACCCCATTACAAACTCCAGAGACCGTCATGGATGTTTCTGACACTTTTCTGAAATACATTGACTACTCTCCGGAAGTTGAGAAAGCTTTAAAAACACACCAACCGATTGTCGCACTCGAAACAACAATCATCACACATGGTCTTCCATACCCCGACAACCTTAAGGTCGCGAATGAGTTAGAAGACATCATCCGGCAAAATGGGGCTATTCCAGCAACAATTGGAATTGTTGCTGGTCGTATACAAGTGGGGTTTACCAAAGAACTTCTTTCTCAGATCAGTACACGAAAAGGTGTGTTAAAGGTGGGTATTCGCGACATTCCCCAAGTCGTTTCGGAGAAGAAGTGGGGTGGAACAACAGTTGCTGCTACTTCCCGTATCGCTTCCTTAGTTGGTATAAAGGTGTTTGTGACTGGTGGTTTGGGTGGTGTTCACCGAGGCGCAGAGGAGACGTTTGACGTTTCCAACGACCTCAACGAGCTTTCTATCAACCCCATATGTTTGGTTTGTGCTGGCGCTAAGATCATATTAGACCTTCCCAAAACACTTGAGTATTTAGAGACATCTGGTGTTTCCGTCCTTGGCTATCAAACGGAAAACTTGCCTCAATTTTACGTTCGTTCCTCCAACCTATCAATCTCGGCTGTCAATTCCACGATCTCGATCTCTCATCTTCTCAAAGTCAAAGATGATTTGAATATCGAAAAGGGGACGATAGTGGCCGTACCCATTCCGGAGAAAGATGCGTTAAATGAGACTGAAATTTCGGGATTATTGGCTGAAGCCTTAGAACAAGCAAAAATCCGGGAGATTAGGGGGAAAGCGGTCACCCCTTTCATTTTGGGATATTTAAACTCGAATTCTCAGGGGAAGACAATACAAGCCAATGTAGCGTTGATCAAGCACAACGCCGAGATTGGTTCCAAAATTGCTTTTTACTACAACGAACTTAAATTGGGCAAAGAGTTTGGCGATGAGAAAGAGTCACAGAAGGTTGTAAAGCATTCGAAGATAGTAGTTGTTGGGGCGTCTGTCATGGACTTTATATCTCGGGGAGAGATCTTACCGGAGGTCAGTGTAGAGGGTGTCGTACAGCAAAACCGCGGTGGTGTAGGGCACAACATGGCTGAGAATATTCACTTGATTGGGAACCAAATGACTTTCTTGAGTGTGTTGGGCAACGACTTTCTTGGGAACGTATTTAGAAAATCGTTTGAGAAGATCCACATGGAAACGAGTGGGATTGTATTAAGTGAATTTCCTACAGCGGTGTACTCGGGGGTGATTAACCAAGACGGTTCATTGATTGCTGGTGTGATAGATAAACGATCGTTGAAGGGAATGACTGTGGACAAGATAGAGAAGTACATGGATCTTGTCACTAATTGCGAGTACGTTGTTATCGATACCAACTTTGAGTTGGACGTCATCAAGAAGGTCATTTTGTCTGCGAAGGGAAAAGTCTGGCTCGAGCCGACGGGGGGAACATCCCTCAAAATATTGATACCGGAAATTTTAGAGAGAATCGATTACTTCTCACCAAACAACTTTGAGATCGAATGGCTGGCAAAGCGGATTGGATATAAAGGCGGCGAGTGCGACGGAGGGAATATTGAAGAGTGTATAAAAATGTCCGAGCTCTTTGTTGCGCGCGGAGTGAAAAATTTAATAGTGAAATTGGGACCGGACGGTGTGTTGGTTGTGAAGAAGGAAGAGGACGGAACCGTCTGGAAGAAAACATACACTGCGATGGATACCGAGGAAATTAAGGATGTTCATGGTGCTGGTGATTCGTTGAGCGCTGCGACTGTTGCTGCTATGCAAAGAGGATATCCACTCGAGGAAGCGATATACTATGGTCTTGCTTGTGCGAAGATGACTCTTGAGAGCGAGTATACCATTAACCCGAAAGTTAATTGGGAGAAGCTCGAGGCGATTGTGAAAGAAGAGAAAACCAAAGCGATTCCAAAGAGTGATTTATAAGACTTTTTATTAGAATTTTCTATGTTTTGTTGTGTGTGAAAGAATTTGTTTTACATATGAAAAATCGAGTGTTGTGGAGAATCAATTGCGATTTTAAATGACTGTTAAAAGATGTCATTTTGAGATTTTGAATCAAAGCCTCTTAAATTATTTTGAATTTTTATGCTTGAAAATCAACCAAAATTGTCATCCCGATAGTATAAGTGGATGTTCACTCATTATTTTGGTCTGTATGTTTCACTCTTTGATTCATTCGACAATCACTGCTTTTTTTTGCCATTTCATCGTGGAAAGCAAAACCAACTTTTGCAAAATCAATAAAGAATGTAATGAACGTCTCTTCTTGTGATCTTTTTATTTGTGTCATTAAATAAAATTGTTGTTTGGTTTGCAGAGTAATTTGGGTAATTAAAATCACATGTTGATTTTTTAACGGAGTAAGGCCAAAGAAAGCACCAAAACCCTGCTAATTGCGATATTCCAACCAACTCAAATCACTCTAACGCCGGTAGAACCCCAAGTTGTTGTCCAGTAGTTTTTTTATTTGATCAATTATGTAAATTTAACACGATATTTTCAATTAAATTCAGATAGTTACATAACATAATTACAATATCGGCTTTTCGGTTGATTTTGGTGTGCTCCAATAATTTGTTCAAGTCAATTTCTCTGATTTGCCATTTTATATATTAAAACTGGTTTTATTTTTGCTGAATGATGATAAACTCGAAATACCCTGTGGGACATTTGTGTAACAGAAAATATTGGAAAAGACTTGAAATAATGCACTTTGGTATTTCCAAAAATAATCCATTTCTTGTTAATGAAAAGTGCAATTGTATAAAAAATGTTTTTGAACAAGCCGAAATTAAAGATGCCGTGTTTGCTTTTAATTCCGCTTGAAGTAATAAAATGAGTTATAACAATAGAATTTGCAACGTTGTTTACCACTTCTTTGTTCCAACGAAATTGTTTAAATTAATGGGATAGTATTTTATGACCGAAATTCCCATCAGAAAGCATGAACAATGTAAAAATTTACAAGCACAAATTCAATGTTTAAGAACTAAAGTAGAATACCCTTTTTATGTTTTGAGACTGCCATTGGTTTTTTTCATTCTCAAAAATGTCTTTGTAATGAATAAGGAAACACACAAGAGATATGATTGCCTCTTTTATTTTACAAATGCCAAATATCCAATGAAATTAATTAAGAACTACAACGGACGTTTGTCAACCACTTTTGGGAACTAATTTTGACTTTGATTTGATAGATACTTAATGATCCATAACAATGGCATTTGACACTTATCAATTGCTCTTAAAGTGATTTTTAATACAAATTTAATACAAAATATTATATAACTACTTTACTTAATTCTTCAAAGTAACTTTCTATTGAAAATTGTCAAACTGTTTGTGGTCCAAATCTGGACTACCAGTATTTATGATTTGAAATCAAAAATAGAGCTTTCCCTTCCTTTTTTATCCATCCCAAACATTTTAGGTTTGAATTAGACTCGAGTGCAGGCAAAGTAGTTCTGAGTTGTCATTTGGCCATATTTTGATGTCAAGTGGATCGACGTCCTCCAACGACGGATGTCATTCAAACACGACGGTGTTCAACGAGAATCGGAACGCACAGTCCTGTCAACAAGCAGTGTATATTGCGCTTTTAAGCTCCTTTTTTGACATCACGATAAAACCGCCCATGAAAAAGACGAGTGTGGCTCTGCAATTTTTGAAAATCGAGTCTTTAAAAAAAGGTAACGATTGTGTTCGATTTGATGACGTTGTGGATCGGAGGTGTCAGGAGTTATATTGCAGAGATGTGCTTTGTGGTGTTCACGAAAAAACCGCAAAAAGGAGAAAAGAAACAAATAAAATAGTCGAGAGTTTATATCTTCTTATTGATATTCTACACGAATGTGCAACAACCTTTTCGTCATCAGCGACGGGTAAACGGAGTCTTCAACACTTTGAAATTATCAAAGAAATATCGTTTGTATCCAAGACGGTGAATTGGTCGCTTTCACTCAATGAAGAAGAATTCAAAAACAAAGGAAAAGAACTTAATAATTTCTTTTATGAAAAGGTCAAACTGGGAAAAAAGTATGTATTAACAACAAATGACAATGTTATTCAGCGGTTTTTATGTACAAGATGATAAAAATATGAGTGAATGATTGAAATCTATTTTGGTGTGGTGTTGTTTAATTAATTATTGGAGTTTTGTAGTTTTTAAAATAAATTATTCTTACTAACGGACGTTTAACCCATTTTTTATACTTGAAGAAGCCAATAATATTTAGATTATAGCTTTTGTTAATATTTAGTTCTTCTTTTTGATATTTTATCATTTTATATTTTCGGCTTTCATATATAAATATATTTATATATTAGAATCACAATTGTAATATCAGGATTATTCGATTGTAATTGGAATAATTTTTATAGTATGATTAGTCTTATTGAGTGAATATTTTGCCAAAAACAATTTGCTGTTTTTCATATTTTATTTTTATAAATTCAGCAATGTTTGACGTTTGGATTAATTGATATTTATAACAATAAATCCAGAATTAAATCTTTGCACGTCAACTATTTTGTTATGAATATATAAACAATTTGTAGTCAGTGGTTCCTTTGATTGAAAACGATAACAAGTTTCTTACAACTTCAGTAAACTATTGAGTATCATTTTAAGTTTATCAATTCGAAAGTACTTTTTCTTATTGTCAATAGAAATTTTAATTCAATACAAAATTAAAAGTTGTTTAATTTTACAAAACAACTTTATCTGTTCCATCTCAATAATAATTTTTCAAAAGTTAGGGTGTTCGAATTGTATATAAAATGTAGGTATATAAACAAAGTAACTTTCGACTATTTTATTTGTTGTTCAATTTGTTAGTCACTTGAATGATATTACCATCTCAATCACATGAAGTAATTAAAAGACTTTTGAAATACAGAATACAAGTTATTGTTATTTAAATTCTTAGTTTGAATTTAAATACACTAAACACTCTGTTCAATAAAAAAACTTATTTTAAAACAACATACACAACTTATCAATAATTAATCAAGTGAAGTAACACTTTAATCCAATTCAGACAAATTCTAATATAATCTACAATTGTATCACATGAAATTAAACCTTACAAAACAAGAAACAAGTCCACTCATTGTTATCTATCAAACAAATAATGTTATTAAAAACACACATCACAATGATAACCATCGCAAAAGAGTTCAACAAATATACCATTTGGTTATTATATTAAACATGAAAATCTCCATATCATTAATTCAATGTCATTATATATATATGTAACATTAAAAATTAAAAAAATAACTCACAAAATCAATTCTACAACATGGGTTTGATAAAAGTACTCTTCACTGTTTTTGTCGTTTTCTTCTTCTTGTTGGTTGTTGTTTTCTTCGTCGGTCTGCTCATCTTTTTCTCTCCCTTTTCTCCTTTCTCGCCTGCAGTCGTTCGTTTCTTTCGTGTTTTCTTCTTTGGTTCTTCTTCTTCTCCTTCGTCCTGCATTTCGTTGATCAAGTCCAAAATATCATCATCATTTCCATTATCATTTCTATCGTCTTCTTCCTCATCTTCTTCCTCTTCTCTTACTTTCACTTTCGTTCGACTTAATTTCGGAGCTGCTCTGACTACATTTATACTTGGGTTTGTCGTCTTGACCTCTTGTCTGTTGTGTTCTCTCAAAAAGTTATTCACGGCATCTACAAACCTCTTCCCATACGCACTTTTGATATTCTTTTTCATCGTGATTTTCTCTTCAAATTCCTCCAATGTTGTTGGCATCACCACCACTATTTTATTCAGCGCGCGAGTGTCAACCAAATTGTGTTTAAGTAACGACCCCTTCCCCGTCTTCTTTTGCACTTCCTCTAATATCTCTTGTCGAACGTTGTCCAGCGTTTCAAACAACTCGCTTTGATATGTCGTCATCCTCACACCACTCTCCATCTCCACTCCGTCGTGCCCAACCTTTTTAATTCGAACGTTGATCGGCATTTTCCCACTCACAAATTTGTTATAATTCGCTCCAAACCTCAAATACACAACAATGTTCTTGTGCACTGACTCTTCTATCCTTTCGCTTAGTATTTTGGACAAACACATCTCCTTCATTAGTTGATCGAGCAGCTGTTGGTCTCTCCCTTTAGCAGAGCCAAACCCAATTTCGTCTTTCCCATATTTCTTCGCAGCAGCCGCTGCCCCTTTCAATATAGAAATGGCCATCGTCGACGTTATTTTCTTGTGTTTATCCACAAGCTTCACAACGTACTTTCCTATTTCCGTCAAATCTACAATCTCCGTTTGTGCAGGGTTATAACAATTGTCACACGTCTTGTTGCACCACTTCGGGTCAAAGTTCTCTCCAAAATATCTCAACACCATAGTTCTTCGACAATCCACGGTGTTCTCACAATAGCTAATCACTTGGTTCAAGTTATCTCGTGAGAGTTCTATGTGCTCACTGTCACTATTGTTCTTCTTTTGGTCTTCCATTAAAAACCTTTCATACACAAATTTGTCACGATACGAGTAAAATAAAATGCAGTCCGCGGGTTCTCCGTCTCGTCCTGCTCTCCCACTCTCTTGGTAATACCCTTCGAGGGTCTTTGGAAGTGAATGATGGATGACAAACCTCACATCAGGCTTATTGATACCCATCCCAAACGCAATTGTCGCGCAAATCACATCAAATTCCCCATCACTCCACCCTCTCTGCGCTTTCTGTCGCTCTTCCGGAGTCAGCTCGGCGTGATAAAAACACGCCTTTATCCCACGCGCAACAAGCTGATCACAGACATCCTTCGTATTTTTGCGGCTCAAACAATAGACAATCCCACTCTGGTTTCGGTACTTCGTTTTGATCAGTTTCTCAATGTCGTCGATGACGTTCTTAGTTTTCGGCTTGACGCAGTACCTCAAGTTCTTTCTATTGAACGACTGAGTAAACACAACAGCGCTCTCAACACCAACAGACAACAAAATGTCATTCTGCACTCTCTCCGTCGCTGTCGCAGTCAACATCATAAGTGGCACGCCAGGGTATCTCTGCGTCAGTACAGAAAGCTTCTGGTACGACTCTCTAAAATCGTGTCCCCACTGACTAACGCAATGCGCCTCGTCTACCACTATCAGCGCAAAATTCCTGTTGTTGTAGTAACTGTCCAGCGCTTCCAAGAACGAGTCCAGTTGTATTCGTTCCGGTGTCAAGAACACAAGCTTCAACTTCGGCTTGCACACGCTTTTACTCTCCGCAAAGAACCTCTTCCCCGCTTCGAAGTCCGACCCCTGATAATACGCCAAAACGTTGTTCTCAAGTGACGTCGAGTTTAAATTGGCGACTTGGTCTTGAATCAATGACACCAATGGCGAAATAACAACAGTGATTCCCGTCATCAATGCGCTCGCAAGTTGATAACACAGTGACTTCCCCCCACCAGTTGGCATTAAGACAAGTGTGTTGTGTCCAGACAACGCACAATTAATGATCGCCTTTTGACTCGGTCTGAATGAGTCGTTACCAAAGTCGTTGTGGTTCTGCTTTAATGCTACCTCGTCCCAGGTAAAACTTGTGTGTTCCCAATCGGTATCAATCGGATACATCCCTTTCCCATTTGGAGGACGCCTGTCAACGGCCATCGGAAACCGCCTCTTAATACCCGTATTGGTCTTCAAAAACTCATTCAATTTCCACACATAAAACCGTCCACCTTCACTCGTCTCTCGAAATGGCTGGTGTCGAACAATTCCGCTGTCATCATTAATTAAACTCGACTCTTCTCGCAACATCCCATCAACTGCTTCAACATAGTCTCCTTCCATTTGGACATTTTGTGGTCCATCCAGTGTATAATTTGTCACACCCATCTGTTTTGTGTTGTCAAAGAAATCCTCCCCAATGAAGTCGTCTTGTTGTGGATTTGAAGGTTGTTCCAAACTCGCAATTTTTGCCAAATCGTCTTGCAAAGACCTTTTAATTTCCAACTCCGCATCATTCGCTTCCAAGTTGGTAATTTTGACTTGGAGATATTTTTTGATATAACCAAGCGCATTCCGATTGGTATGGAAAAACGCTTCGAGTGTCATTTGACCCTTCATATTCTTTGTATTCTTCATTTTCTTGCCTTCTTCGTCAAAGTTAATACACTCGTTCACTTGAATCTCGTCTTCCATTTCCATTGGGTTGTTTGTGGTACTCTCTCCTCTTCCAACATTCCCTCCCTTCCCCTTTTCGTTGTCATCAAACGTGTCCATCAACCCGGAAATATCATCGTCGTCAATCATAATAGCTTCATGATTGTCACCTTTTTGTTTCTCATATGTGTTTGTTGTATTCCCATTCGTCTGTGTCTGGTCGCCAAGGTACACTGAATTTCCAACATCCATTTCGTCTTCAGTGTTATACATTGAAATCTCCAACGACGGTTTCTTCTTTTGTACAATCGACGACTCCTCCATCAAACTAATTTCGATGTCTTCATTCTTCTTTTTGTTCTCCTTATTCTTCGTTGTCCGTTTTAAGTCTTTCTCTGACTTTCTAAACACGGGCTCAGTTAACATTGATTCTTCTTCCATTGCACGTTGTTCCATTTCCGTGTCTGTTTTACTTGTCTTAGTATTAGCAGTACTGTTAATGACTTCATTCAAGAAATCGTCTGAGATATCGAAAGGGTCGTCCTTATTATTAACAGTTGCAGTAGTTCCATTGGTTCTCTCCATAGTACTAACATCCAAGCACTCGACCTCTTGGACGTCATTCTCTTCGTCGACGACAAAGACTTGATTGAACGTGTTCATTGGCGTATTAATTAATAAATCATTCTTGTGACTCATTCCCTCTTTCTTGATGATAGAAGGTTCAATGGTCATTTTAGTGGTAGTAATACTCTGTTGGTGGTGCTGTTGATCATTTTCCAATGCTTCATATATATCTTGGACTCCATCTTCTTCAATGTCCATCTTCTGATTTGGTCGACTCTTTGTCACAACGATATGTGGGGTCTCGGAATTGGTTTTGGTGATGATGAGAGGAGCATTCGCACTGTTCGCGGTTGGTTGGATTTTCTTTGGAGGTGTAGTAATGCGGTCATCGATTTGTTCAATTTTTGACTCCAATTTGTCGTTTTGGTCGTTTTTGTGTTGTTCACTTTTTCGGACAAACCCTGCCTCTTCATTTTTCGTGGTTGGTACTTTAGAGTAAGAAAGAGTTTCAATCTGGTTGAGAACAGATTGCGGGTGCGCATTTTTCTGAGTGAACTGATAAAAATTTTCAAATGTCGACTTCCCTTCAAAAACATCAAATTTGGGGACTTTAGTGTGGAGTGCTGTATCTACAAAAGCCATTCGAACCTCCCTCTCCGCTTTGAGTCCTTTCTTAATAGCAGAAGTCTCATTCTTGAGATTGTTTTTCATTCACTCTGATTATCAAGATTTTAATAACTCAATTTTTCATTGCTTGGTTTTTTTTTCACTTTGGTTTTCCACTATTGTATTTTATTATTTTATATTATAATTAATTAAATTTGAAATATTTATTCATTTCAAATTTTTATTATTAAAATTATATATTACAAATAACTATACTTATTAATAATAATTTATAATATGATTTATAATATATTTACAAATAAATTTCTTGTTTTTTTTGTAAATAATATTAGTTTTGTTTTATTTCATTTTAATAAACTTGATTTTGTTATTAACTAATTTTAATTAAACTATTTAAATAATATATAGTATAATATAAAGTATAATTAATTAATGAAATAGTATAAAAATAAATACACAATAATTAATTTATTTACTAAAAAAAAACTATGTTTAAAAGTCTTTTAGTTTTCTTTTCCTGAAACCAAAATATATTTAACTTGTCTTTTTTTCAATCTCGAAAAACCCACAGAATGTCCACTTCAAAAGTCTCTCTTCCAAATTCTCGCCGCGATGCAATCTTTAGGCAGATAAAGCACAAAAATGGCAACAACGTTTGTTTTACTTATTTGAATAATTTTACGTGTCGAGTGACATATGACAATCTGGATAACCCTATTTCTTTCTCACAAGTAACTATCAAAAATTATTAACAATTAATTATATCTTTCAATTATAAAGTTATTATATAATAACTATTTATTTAATAAATAGGTGTGTTTTGAATGTGGAACACCAAATCCGTCATGGGCGTCGATTCCATATGGTATTTTCATCTGTATTCAATGCAGTGGTCAACATCGTGGATTGGGTGTTCATCTTTCTTTTGTCCGTTCGATAGATATGGACACATGGACAACAAAACAAATGAGTAACATGATCAACGGGGGCAATGACAAATTTCGCACCTATTTAAAGGAGCACAAAGTCAACATGTCAGCCCCATGGGAAATGCGATATTCCCTTCCTTGTTGTGAGAAGTATAAACAAATGTTGACCGACATCGCTGACGGGAAACTCACACCAAATGCTATTCAAGTCACTGCAACCGCTCCTATCACACCAACACAACCATCGCCAGCTCCAAATTCTAAAGAAGTTGAAATCCCATTGAGTTTACTTGAGCAACACGTCATTAAAACAACTAAAAACAAGAAGGACGACAAGATGCAGACAGAAGTGAGTAAAGCCAAAACCCCAATGGGGACGTCTTCGATCGACTGGAGTACTATTGGCAATGAAGATAAAAGTAAAGACAAGACTGAAGATGACGGGTGGGACACTTGGCAGACCCGACAGAAGAAGGCAAACACCCCGATGTTGTCCGCCGACTATTAACTCAGACAAGAAGCAGACAACGCAGACTTTGAATGCTTTGATTATTATGTATTATTGTTTTACTATAATAAAGAACTATACGAGTCTAATCTATAAATTATAGTATACAAACTAATGAAAAAAAGCAGTGTTCTTATGGGTTAAGTCTGATTGGGTCTCTTGGGAACAAAGTGACCTTTCTGATGTTAGGGATTCCCAAGTAGAGCATAGTGATTCTTTCAAGTCCGATTCCACAGCCAGCGTGTGGCCAACCACCAAATCTGAATGATTCGATATAGTCCTTAAGAGTAGCTGGGTCGACACCCTTTTCGATGCATCTTTTCATCAAGAATTCTGGGTCGTGAATACGTTGAGCGCCCGAAGTGATCTCTTGTCCTCTCACAAAGACATCGTATGAGTTAGAGTAGTGAGGATCATCGACATCTGGCATAGTATAGAATGGTCGAATCGCTGATGGGAATTTATCCAATATGTAGAAGTCGGTGTTGTACTTCTTCTTAATCAACTCACCAAGTAAGATCTCCTGTGGTGTTGTGAAATCGTCGTAGTCGCCAATAGTCTCGCCAGCTGCTCTTAACATCTCAATACCCTCTTTATACCTCAATCTCAAAAATGGTCTGTACACAAGATCCTGATACGGGAATTGTTTTCTAATGACCTTCAATTCGTCGGGGAATCTCTTTGGGATCTCATCGAAGATGAAAGTGAAGATCCCTTCCATAACATCGATGCACTCGTGGTAGTCTTCATTGATTTCCATCTCAATATCAAGTCCTTCGAACTCCGTTAAGTGTCTTCTAGTGTTAGAATTCTCTGCTCTGAAGACGGGTCCGACTTCAAAGACTCTTCTGAAGTCTCCCATGATAGCCATTTGTTTGTACAATTGTGGCGATTGAGCCAAATACGCTTTTCTGTCGAAGTATTTGACTTCGAAGATGTTAGATCCTCCTTCTGAAGAGCATCCAATCAACTTTGGGGTATGGATCTCGACAAACTTCTTCGATGTCAAATACTCTCTGAAGAGTCCGGAACACGCAGATTGAATTCTGAAGATGGCGATGTTAGTCACTGTTCTCAAATCAAGCATTCTATTGTCAAGTCTCATGTCTTGTGACACTTTGACATATCTCTGTGCAGATGCCTTCTCCTTTGTCAACTTAGCATATTCGTCTTTCAATGGTCTTTTAGTGAGATCCTTTCCTTTGTTCTTCTCAAGGAACTCTTCAATCTTCTTATCGACAAGAGCAATTTCCTTGTCTTGTTCCTCAAAGACTGAATTGGGGAAGGTCAAGTCTTCAATTTGCATTGGGAGTGGGACTTCCGCCAATGAGACGACACAGATCTTAGTGATATGAATTTCGACGTCTTGTTGTGTGGCTTTGTCAATGGGCTTTTCGACTTTTTGGACCTCACCGGTGATATCACAAATGGACTCTGCAGACAATTTCTGGCAGAACGTGACAAGACCCTTTGGTACAGTTTCAGAGACAGTAGCAACAGCTTGGCATGTGTAAATACCCTTTCTTAAGAACAAGAAACAGATTCCACCTTTTCCTCGAACGGCTTGAACACGAGCTCTAACGGTAATAGTCTGGCCTGCAAGAGCTGGAGTCAAGTCTTCAAATTCGCTGTATTTCAATCCCTTTTTGAAGCATGGCTGTGATTGATGCATTGGCATAACCATATAAGTATCGCCTTGGACCAATTCTGGAGTCTTCAAAAGAACGACGGGCTTCAATCCTCCGGCCTTTTCTTCGACTTCTTTTGGGATCTCTTTTGCTGGTGCGGTGGTGGACATTAAATTTTCAGTATGACTTTTTTCTATTAATTAAGGTTGGAAGAAATAAGAAGAGCAAAGGGTTATTATGGTGCATGAGGTGGTGCCACATAAAACCCGATTTGGGATAATACTCTCATCACTTTCTTTATTATTTTGTTTTATTTGTTTTTGTAATATCAACTCGGGAAGTTTTGAAACACTTGGTATTATTTGGTGACCTCTTTTTAGTGGTAAACCTTGATCGTATTGGCATTAAAACAATATCTCTTAAATACTTCGGGAAATTACTATAGGATTTTATTGATTAAGGATTTTTGAGTCACAAAAACAAATAGAAAAAGTGGATAATTATTTGACTTCATTTTTACGTTTTTGAGGAATTTTTTAAGTTCTTAGGTGTCTTGAGGTAATTCCTAGGTCTTTTTAGATCTTATTAAATAATAGTTTTTTGATAAGTTATTTAAATTAATTAATTAGTAAAATACTTTTATTTCTCTTAAGTTAATTTTTTAATTGTAACCCCAAAAAGACTGAAGTGTCAAATAATAGTATTAAATAATAAATTTTATTATTAATAAACAGTTTAAAAGATATAATAATGTATTATTATTATTATTAGAACAAAGCCATAGAAAATTATTAAAAATAAAAATAACATTTATAATAACATTTATTATCTGATCAACACAACAAAATGTTATTCTGAAACAAAGTATTATTCAAATGAAGATAATGACCCTTCAGAAGTACTTTCGAGTGCCTCTTGAGCATGTTTTGGTATACTTTCCATCGAACCATCACACAAGAGTTTCTTCCCAATTGATGACTTTTTGAAAGCTGGTGTATTTTCCATTTGAGTTTCGACCAAAGGGAGTTCGACGCAGTCTGTGCTTTGCAACGAGTTTTTGACATTGATTTGTTCTTTTTGTTGTGTATCAATATCTTCTTTGGTATTAGTCTCTTCTGCTGTTTTATCACGAAGGCCTCCAATTTTCTTATTAAACAATGTTTGTCGCATCTCATTGTTGGTCCCAACAACCTTTTTGATTGTTTTAAAGTTAACTCTGTCGATCAAGTCCCCCAGCTTCTTGACAAGTACATTTGTTAGCATTCTTTCTTTCGGGGACTTCGTCCAACACGCCACAATAATTGCATACACGTCCTCATCAATTCCTTCTCTTCCAAGCATCTGTCCTGATGTTACAAAGTCAGCGACAGACCATGCATATGGGAATAAGATTTTTGGGAATGGTTCTTTCCACAACATAGTGGTGTATATCGTCATTCCAAGTGAATACACATCCGCCGGTTGTTTATAGTATTCTCGATTTAAAACTTCTGGGGCCATATAAGAAGGGGTTCCAATACCTTTAGTGAATGTCATATTAGTCATCATCAGATTGACGTTTCTACTACTCCCAAAGTCAGTCAATTTACCGGAGACCATCACATGTTTGTCCAATGAAAACACAAGAATGTTATCCGGTTTAACGTCTCGATGTAACATATCATTGTCATGCAAGTACTTCACACCCTTCGACGCGTCCAACAGTATTTTAATTCTCATATTCTTGTCTATCGGATCTTTCATGCGTTTCTTAATTAAGTCTTGTAAACTCCCATATTCAGCATATTCAGTGACCATACACACTTTATTTGGTATCGTAACAGCTCCATAGAAGTGGACAATATACTCACACCGGAACTTGTCCAACATCGCTACTTCCTTCTCAAACTCTTTCAGTTGGTCTTCAGTCACTGCAGAGCCTCTCATCTTCTTAATCGCAACAGAGTGTCCTCTATACTTCCCTTTATATACAATTCCAAAAGATCCTTCTCCAAGTTTCTTTTCATCTATTAATTCGTCCGGGTCCAATTGAGTAGTAATCTCTGTCGTTACTTTCAAGTTGATTTGATCGACTATTTCCTCTCCCGTTTTCATGTTAAAGGAAACAACAGAAATGGTATCTTCAATAGTACAAGTACAATGCGGGGTGATGAATAATTCTATTTCACACGCATATCCTCCTTCTAATGCTACAAGCTCGGGATTATACCGTAATGAATACTTCTCTTTACTCTCTTTCACTGTGAACTGCACTTTCATTTCATATTTACTGATGTTCCCTATACAGATCAAGTCTCGAGACTCTTTCCCAACAGGTACCATACTAGCGTCTAAATCAAAACGAAGTTCTGGCTTATTCACTTCTAATGGAGAAGTATCAGACAATGGAACAAATGTCAAGTTACTGTATTTGATCTTAAAGAGTGTCACTGTTGTTAACCGATGCTTTTGAAGCTTCTTCTCGACAAACCAGAAGAAGACTATTAACAGTATTATGACAACTACTATTATTACAAACAGAACGGAAAGAGTGCTCCCTAAAATAGCACCCAAATAAGACTTCTCTTCACATGATATCTCATCAACACTCAGCTTATACCCACTCTCACATGAAGAACACAATCCTTCTTGCGCACCAAGACACTTCGGCACTTCTGTGTAATGCACACAACTAAATCGAGTTGAAATCGACTTTTTGACATACTCTTGAGAGCATTGAGTACACTCTTCCGCACTCGATTTACACGTTTTACAAGCAGAACTGCAAAGATCACACTCGCCATCAGAGAGGTAGTAACTCTCATTACATAGTGTGCACCCTCGATCAGTTTTTATGATACAATTTGTTAATTCCTCAAAGGGTTTACATATGGAAAGGGTATTTGGCATGTAATAATTGGCAATACAACCAGTACACACACTCGCTTGAATGCAGGTACACCCTTCATTCTGACATTTTTGACATTCTTTGTCTTCCAAGTAATACCCACTCGAACAAATAACACATCCACCTTTGATGTCGGAAAAGAAGTCGCAGTTCGCGTTGTTTTGTTTGACACAAACATTGTCAGACACTTTAAACCCTTCTTCACACTCCACACAGGTCTCACTATTTAAGCACCTCGTACAGTTCTCAGAACACTCTACATGTTAATCAATTGGAAATTATATTATTATTTATTATTATGTATAACTATACATATTAGTATATATAGGTATCATATATAGTATTTATATACTATATATTCTAATACGAATAGTAACAAACTCGAACAGAACCCATCACCATTCAAATAGTGTTGAACAACACAACGAACACATCCGTTTTTAGAATACGCTTCACATGTATCACTGGCACTTTCTTGTTTAATAAAAAGTGTTTTAAAAGTATTCGACTGTGGAGATTCAACAATAAAGTCAGAGAAACAGATCTCGTCTAATGGACTTGAACATGAATAACACTTCCCATTACGTAGAAATGCATTGTCTTCACACTCCAAACACGTTAATTCAGTCTGTTTGAGACACCGTTCAATTGTATTTCGTTTACATTCTCCATTGCTTGCTTTGTAATACCCACTCCCACATTCAATGCATGTTCTGTTCAGTTCGTTGTAATCATAACAACTTTCTTTAATGACACACATCAATTTCCCATCATTATAAACAACGTAATGAGAAGCATTGTTACATAACATACATGCAGTGTTATTATAACACGTTGGGCATTCTGAAGGGCATTGCGAACATATTCCTTTATCCAAATAATATCCATCATGACATTTCACACATTCAAGTGTTGAACTGTTTGCGTCGACTGTCATTTGTTTATTATTATGTTGATACTTTTCACATCTTTCAATTTCAAAAACACATTCAAAGTCGTTTCCGTTGGGTTGCAGTTTGTAGTCTTTAATGCACCCCGTAACGACTATTGTATTGCCACTATAAACACATTCACCAGCATTTGTTGTGACACTCTCACATGTTTTAACCACACGATTTGATGTTTGGAAGACTCCACTGGTGATATTTGAAGTGCATATCTCAGAGTCAGCAGCACAGTCTACATCCATTATAATAGTACACACATTATTAAACAGTTTCTGTCCAATTGGGCATTGGATACATTTTGTTTCAATTTTATCTTCTGTTTTATATTCAGTGTGGTATAGACAAGACCCTTTGAGAGAGTCTTCGACACTCAAATCGCAATTGGGTTTAACAGAAGTGAAATTATTACAATGATATGAACACGTCACATCATTCATATCAGTCGTGTTATCACATTTTTTTGTTTTACACTCATTTCCAAATAAGACGAATGAATCACTCACACATCCAAAGCAGTTCGTAGCACTCGAACAGCCAGCACAATTATCTTTGCATTCTATTCATTAGTTAAACACTAATAAATTAAAATAAAACAAACTGACACATTTATTATTGTCAAGATAATAGCCTTCTTTACAAAGATAACACGTTCCATAGGATTTTGGATTGCAAAGTTCACAATTGGGATTCATTAAAGAACATTCAACACAGTGACCAGAATTATCAAGTGAATATGAGTCATTTTTACACGTGGTACATCTTTCAAGTGTTTGACTGCATTGATTACAGTTGGGTATATCAGAACATATATGACACAAACGTGTTGTATTATGAAGGAAATGATTTGCTTGACACTCCAAACAATTGGCACCGACTGGATTACACGTTTTGCAATACCCATTTTTAATATTTTCACATGGAAAACACTTCGTTTCATTCAAAAAGTTGTTTTTGGTACAATTTGTACACTTTGAATTGTCTCTAAAACACGAGTCAACAGAGCAATTCATACTTTCACATGTGTGACACCGATTAGTTGATTCTTCTAAGTAATATTCAGCTTCACATTGTTTGCATTTACCATTTGATTGATCACAACTACTATTTTCACACTTCAGAGATGAACATGTTTGACAAATACCGTTAAGTGGGTAATACCCAAGTACACACTTAGAACATATATTATCAACTGATGAACAACTGTCATTTTCACAATGAATAGTACTACACAATTGACACGTTGAACTCAATTTATCAAGATAAAACCCACTGACACATTTTAAACACTTCCCGTTTTCTTGATTACAGTTGTCGTCTTGACAATGAATCGACGAACATGATTGACAGAAGTTGTTTTTTGGATAATACCCTATATCACACTTTGTGCATTTATTTGATGTAGAAGAACATGTGAGACAATTTCCATTAATTATTTCATTACATGGTTTACACGTTGAACCATCTAAAAAGTTGTTATTAATACATTCGGTACACGTGTTGTCTATTTGTGAACAACTGGAATTAAGACAATTGATACTTTTACATGTGGCACACGCGCCCATTGTGTTGAGATAATACCCACTGACACATTGTGAACACTGTTCAGTTTTCGTATCACACTTATTACTCATACAATTTATGTCAGCACATGGTTTACATTGGCCATTGGCATCCGGGTAGTACCCTTCCATACACACTTCACATCGCTTTGTTGTTTGTGAACAAGTCGCACATGGACTTCCAAAGATTTCAGTTGAACATAATTTGCATTCAGTACCGTCAAGAAAATATCCAGTCATACATTTTCTACACACTCCGTTATTATCTGTGCAATCATTGCAATGACCATCATTGCATTTTTTGCACTTATTTGATTCTAATTGGTAATACCCTTCTGTTGGACATTCTACAATACAATTTGATGGTGGAGAAGACGTCGTATTTAAAAATGGATGTGTTGAATCACAGACACTGCAAACATCACTCGGACATGTTGTACAATACTTAACACTACACTCCTGACACTCAAAATTGGTCGAATAATAATAGTCTTTACATACAGTTTCACATTTCTTGTCTGTTACATTCAGTAATAAAGGACTCTTACAATGGGTACACACTCCATTTGTTGGACATGTCTCACAATTGGTGTCAGAACACGGCAAACACTTTGAAATACCCTCTTCTACTGTGCTGTAATACCCAGATCCACAATTTTCAACGCACTCTGTTATGTCATCTTCGACTTTTAAAAACAGTGTACTTTCACAAGAAGTGCATTGATCGTTGACACATATGGCGCACGACTTAATGGAACATTTTGAGCATGTTTTATTTGTTGATGATGTTATTGTACTGTCATAAAACCCACTTGCGGAGCAGCCGTCTTGGCATTGGTAACTCTCCATATTCAAATAATTTTCAGAATTGCAATGAAAACATTTGGTGTTGTCCAGACAATGTAAACAATTGGAGGAACATTCTTTACAAACGGGTATTTCACCGTTAGTTGTTTTGTAGACGCCAACCCCAGAACAGTCTGTGCAAGTGAGTGTATCTTCTTTAAGATAATTTTCACATTTTGAGCAAAGATCGTTCTCACAAATAGTACAGGAGCTTTCGGAACATCGTTCACACTCATTCGATTCACTCTTTTTGTAATATCCAATATTTGCAGTACAACTCGTAACACAAGTAAAATCAGTGCAATTCTTATAAAACGGTTCCTTGCATAGAGTACATACTTTAAGATCAGTACACGTTTTACAATTTGTATCTTCACATTGTGAGCAAAGTGACCCATCTTCAGCTGGATAGTAACCTTCGTTACATAGTGTACACTTTATTTCTTTTTGATCCACACAATTTTCAATTTGCCCATAAACAGCTATCACCACAAATGCGACGAATACCGTATTCATCAAGTTGTATAGAAAAATGAATTATTCAGTTTTAAATCAGAGAAACGAATTCTTCTTGCAAATAATTCTTTTGTTCTTTACCATTTTCTTTTTCTTCTCATAGCCACTTGTGTTAATTATTTGCCGAATTTTAGTCGTATCTTTCTTGTGTTTAATCCCATTTGTACCACTTCATATTTTTTCCAATTATTAAAAACAAATCAATACAACAAATTTTTTTTATCTTTCCCAATAAATTGTTTTCTATTTTTAATTCAATTGTATTGTTTTTTTATAGTTGAAAATGAATGGAACCATTAGTATTAGGAAGTATTATCTTTAACTTGTGGAAAAAAATGTGGTGGGGTTTGATTATGTTATCATTTTTTATTATTTATTAATAATTTAAAAGTTATTGATTGATAGTTTTTTTTGTTTGATTGTATTTTTTATTAAATATCGTTAATATTTGTTTTTTAAAAACACAATTATTTTTTTACAACACCTTTAAAAATCAACAAAAACATAACTTTATTGAACAATAATAAACATTAGTAAAAATTAACTATTTAAATTATTATATTTTTATATATATATTTTTTTGCTTTTTGTTTAATTTTTAATAATATTTTTATTTCTTCCAAATTACATTATTTAACCAATTTTTAATATTTTAATTATTAACTCTAGTATTAGTTGTTTTATTAAAAAATAATTTAATGTTTCACACAAAAAAATATTTTATTTAATTTGAATTTTTACTTAAATGAACTAGATTTAATAATAATTAATTTTATGAACATTCAAATGTTATTACTTGAATAATAATATATTATAATATTATAATATAATAACAATAATGATAGTTGAGATTACAACAAATAAATAACAACATTTCTACTAATTATTTTTGGAAAAAACGTTGTTATTTTAATTTTGTAAAACTAAATAAATTGTTATAACCAAAATAAAAAGAACATTTCAAACTTCATTGTTAATAACAAATGTATGAAACATTTGTTTGTTCCAAACAACACGTAAAATCACTGTTTTAATTAACAGAAATAAAGAAATATAACATTAGAGTCTTGTCTCAAGCTCTACTTGATCAAAACAATTTTTTTCATCTTTTTGAAATACTTTACTTCTGTTTATAACAACAGAAAAAGCACTATTGTGTTCACTCTCTCTGAACACAATATTATCAAAGTCGTCTCTATTACTACTACTACTTTGCACGACATATGAGTTAAACAATAAAACCCTTTCTCCAAAGAACTTTTCATCGCTTTTCCTAACAATACAGAACACGACATCATCTTCATTGAGTAAATAGTCTGCTTGTGTTAGTATATGATACCTTTCGTTCAATCTTTTCAATACACCAATGCACTTAATTTCATTCTCAAGTAAAAATTCAAATAAAAGTCCAAAGAGTGTACCAGAGACTTCCTTTTTCATTCGAATGCTTTTGATTACAATGCTACTCTTAAAAGAAGAAAAATCCCTCCACACCACTTCGTTGTGTTTGTACTCCACTAGATTACAAATAACTTCCGCAATGTATTTGTCACTGTATGGCGTCCCACTTTCTTTGATAAATCGCTCGTTCTCTATTTTGTCAATTTCACAAATTATTCGAATGTCCTTCACCCTTTCACCACGACTCTTTTTGACTTCTTTTTCTTGTTTAAGAAGTCCGTTAAGTATTGTATAGATGACAACAACGTTAGTGTCATCTTTCCCATTTTTGTCGGAGCAAAAGATACAAATGCCAGTTGCTGCAAAGACACGCACTCTCGTGTAGAATGATATCTCATGTAAATTACCTTGTACAATGTACAAGTTATCAATAAGCGATAAATCCCTCCAGTCTGCAGACACCTCTTTCAAGCCGTGAATACATATGACTATCGGCACACCACTTTTTTCTCTAAATGTCGACAAAATGGAAGAGACCCCTCGATGATATCCGATTATTAATTTATGTTTCTTTCCTTTAAAATTTTCCACTAGAACAGTTGAAAGCTTCTTTTTCTTGTTATGCACAATTTTTGGTTGTAAAATAGGTGTTTGTGTATCAGATAATATGTCGACCATTTTCCCATTTTTTTGTTCTTTGATATGATGATATGTTTTCTCGTCTGATATAACAAAGAGTATATCACCACGTTGGAGTATTTTTGTTGGAGAACAGTACTCAACTTCATTGTCATGTTCGACACCAACTAATATACAATTGAAGTGTTCGACCAACTCAAGACTGATTTGATTGTATGACATCCCAACGAAAGAGTTTGGGACTTCTAAATTTCTCAGCACATTAGTCTCTGGACTTCTTGTTTTGATCGAGAAGAGTGATCGTAAAACGTCAAAGGAGTGTGGACAAAGTAACTCACATGCAAGTAAGAGTCTGAACTGTTCTTTACATAAACAGACTGCATTGTGTTCCACAAACAAATTGAATAAGTCCATTGTATTTAATAACACATATATCTGACATGTTGAGTTTTGTAACAACGTTTTAAATCGTATAAACGTCAGCTCTTCGTTCTTGTCGGAAGTCAGTATTATTGCACTTGCATATTCAGTAGACGTTTGAGTAACATCAAATTCATTTTGTGCATCACCTTTATAAGTGAATCTGTTGTACTTTCTTTTTGACATGATGTTATCCTGCACGTTGGGTAGCAACACTACCAAATCTCTTTTTATTTTAGGCACAAAAGAATGCAACATATCACCACTTCCAGTATACAACACATGATTCTTGCAGTTACTCAATTTGTCTTGGTCCTTCATTTTCAAGGCGTTAATGATCTTTGATAATCGCATTGGGAAGTAAAGAAAGAACGCAAGGATATACAAACAACAGAAGATCCTGCCCAAGTCTGAATCAGGATACATATCCCCAAACCCCACTGTTACAACAGTAACAACCACAAAGTAAAAACAGTTGTGGAATCGATGAAATTTCGACTCGACTTTAAACCCTTCAAGAATTCTAAATATAGAAGCTGAAAGGAACAACACAGAAAAGGTTGTGACAAAAGTTGTGATAATGGTCTCAGTAATTAAAAACTTCTTTTTGTTCTCTCCTATCCAGAAGTACATTAATGCCTCGGAAAATAAACAGTCGACATATATGATTCTGAGAAAACAGAGTGAATGGATGTGCGTGTGACCTTTCCAATGTTCAAATATCGTTGTTTTTGTCACCACAAAGTATATCAATGGGATGAATGTAATCGTTAAAATTAATAATGAAATGGGAAGCATGAATCTTCGGACGTGTAAATTCACAACAAATTCGTAGAACCAAGAGAGTAAGAGATACACATTCACTCCAAATTCAATATAAAGTAACACGTACAAATGAGATGGAGTGTCCAAATAACTATCTACAACGTTCAAAAAACACAGTGACAAGTTCATTATAATATCAACAACTATAACTACACCAGTGATATACGACTTTCGAAGCCAAAGAATGAATGAACGAATAATTTCAATTTTCTTCTTCTTTAATTTAATGGAGTTCATTTGTCGTTTGCGATAATTCTCTACGCTTGAGAACCGACTTTTGTTCAAAAAATCAGAAGGGTACATTGTGTTACTTTTGTACAGCTTTTCATGATCCTTCTCGTCTTTATCCATTTTAATTTGCTGTGTTACAGTTGATCCAAAAATGTCTTTTCTTCTGTCAGTACAAAACAAAACAAATAACTTAACATCAGTAATGAACTATAAATAGTGAATAACTCAAACTAATTTATAGTTCTTTTTGTATAGTATATCTTCTATAAAAAAGTGAAAATGGTTTTTAAAAACCCTTATTAATTAATAGTATAAAAATAGTTAAATGTATAATATAATAATCAGTGGTATTTAAATAGTAAAAACTCGATATTACAATAACAACAAACTTCTCTAGCCCGATAGACGCACTAGGTTAAATTGTTGCTTAGATAATGCACTTTAACACAACCGTTATAACCTATATGATGGTTCTTGGAAATTTGCAAAAGTTATCAATAATATGTCATATTAGTTTATATATAATTTAAAATACATAATCAACAAATTTATTGATTATAGTTTTTTCATTATAATAATATGGTTTTTTAAAATATACTATAAATTTTAGTAAATTTATTAATAAATATATAAAAACATAAATTTTTGTTTTTATTTAAATTTACATTTTATAAATTATAATATTTATTATTTATAAATATATTAATTAATTAACTATTTTACATTATTATATATTTTAGTTAATTCTATAATATTCTTTTATAAATTTGTTATATTTTTAAAATATTTTTTAAATTATAATAAATCTATTTTATTATTATAGTTCGGTTAGTTAGAATATAGTTCGTTAGCTAACTATAGTTCAGTTCAAAAACTAGGTAAATTGTTAACTAACTATATAGTATTTAGGTTACTTCTCATAAAGTGCCTAAAAAGAAGATGCCAGAGGTAAATTTTAGTTTTGAATAAATACTTAAAAATTTGTTTGTATAAACTAGTAAAATAGTAAATAAACCATTTCTATAATAAATAAAATTATAATTAATTATTTTACTATTATTTAATTATCCAATTAATTAATAATAAATTAATAATCAACTATGACATATACTATTTTTTTCCAACAAACTGCATAGAGGTCAAAAGAACGAGCGTTACACAATTGGGTGACTTTCACTGGTTTTGTTGTTGCACATTTCTGTTGAGTGTCCCACCACGGCCACTTCTATTACTCTGACAAACACGTATCGAGGCCCCAATTTCCCGACATAAGAGCAGAATATTTAAATTGTTAATTAGACGTCTCGCTTCATGACACCAAATCGTCGAATAAAAACACTGCATTGGCACTTCACGACAGAAGAATAATGAACAACAACAAAGAATATAATCTATACGACACGTTAAGTGAAATGCAAGTGATTGATGTCGACGAGAGTTACAAGGCAACAGAAGACGAGCCGATATACAAAGAACACCCACACTTCTGGGACATTCTATTTATGCAACGTGCTCCTCAATACATTCAAAAGGGTCGGAAAGGGAGTTTAGAAGTCTCTGATTTAGGTATGCTTCCTTCCACTCTCGACGTCGAGAAGTCGTTCACTCAAATGATATCATCGTGGAAAACAGAAACAACAAAACACCCCACAAACCCTTCCCTCTTTCGTTCTTTAATTCGAGTTGAATGGAAGTCGTTTCTCTTCTGTTATTTGTTTTTGTTAATATCTCAGTTAGGTACTTTATTGATCCCACTTGTCATTCAATTTCTTATCAAGTGGGTCCAAAGCACCACCTTCGAAATCTATGTAGGAATTCTCTTTCTCTTAGGTATCACTATCATTCAAATACTCACTTCATTTGGTGCTCAATTGTCAGTCAAGTGGATTTTTGTGTTATCTCTCCGTCTTCGCAATTCGATCATCTCGATGATCTATTACAAAGCCTTGCGGTTGAACGTATTAGACATCGAAGACACGGGAAGATTAGTCAACTTAATGTCCAACGACTCGATGTTATTTGTGGAACAACTCCCACAAGTACTTTCCGGTTCGGTAGCTCCCGTCTTGTTTCTCGTGTTATGTGCAATTCTATTTGGGTATGTCCGCCTTTGGGCCTTCATCCCCATCATCCTCTGTCTTCTCTTTGTATTCGCCAATTTACTTTCAAGTCAAGTGATTGGGTACTTCTATAATAAGAGTCAAAGGCGAATAGACAAGCGTCTGGGCTTCTTCAGTGAAATCCTCAAAAACGTCAAATTTGTGAAGTACAATGCATGGGAGAATGCAATGGAAAAGAAACTCGTGGCATTGCGAAGAAGCGAGTTGCTTTCGATCTTTGGGACATTATGTGGACGATCCTCTGTAGTCACTTTAATGCTGGAACTCTCTCCGTTTCTTGCTTTTGCGTTGTTTCTGTCTTTCATTATAACAAAGAAGACTTTGGACGTGAGCGAAGTCTTTTCGTTGATTTGTTACTTTAATTGCATTCGATACCCATTCATGAATTTCGGCTATTTCGTCGCAGCTGTTTTGACCTTTAAAATAGCAATCAAACGACTTCAGAAGTATTTCATGATGCCAGAGCTCCACCCCAGTGACGAGAATTCGTCTTTTATTAATACAGTTGCAGTAGATTTTGACAATGTCGAGTATCACTTTCCAGATGGTCAAACGGCGTTTAGTTGTGACAAATTAGAAATAGAAAAAGGGGAATTAGTCTGTGTGTTAGGAAGTGTTGGGTCCGGAAAGACTTCATTTTTATTGTCTTTACTTGGAGAACTCGATAAAACAAGTGGAAAGTCACAAACACGAGGACAAGTGACTTATGCAAGTCAAACGGCTTGGCTGATGAACACAACCATTCGAGAAAACATATGCTTCACTAAACAATACGACAAACAGAAGTTTGAGAAGGCGTGCGACTGCGCTTGTTTAAAACACGACTTAGAAATTTTGCAAGGAGGCGATTTATATGAGATTTCAGAAAGAGGAGCTAACTTATCTGGAGGTCAGCGGCAAAGAGTGTCTCTTGCCAGACTTTTCTACAACTCCGGAGATGTCGTACTTTTGGATGACCCTCTCAGTGCAGTTGACTTTGAGGTTGGGAGTTACATATTTGAAAAAGGTATAGAAGATTACTTAGACCATAAGACACGAATAATAGTGACAAATCAGACGTATTTTATTGATAAAGCTGACAGGATTATAGTCATTAACAACAAGAAAATGGTGTTTAATGGATCGATTGATGAATTAAGAAACAGCGATTTAGCTGAAGCCGAAGTTGTTAAGAGTGTCACCAAAAACAAAGAAACGTGCAAGAAGAAAAGTATTATAACAAAGCCACAAGACGTTTCAGCCACACAAACTGAAGAAGAGAAGCGCGAAATAGGTGGAGTTTCCTTTAAAACGTATTTAGAGTACTTTGTGTCTGGTGGATTTGTACTCTTCACGTTTGTCTTTTTAACGTCGCTCATTCGGTGTGGGTTCAGACTGTGTTATTTCATCTTTTTGATACAATGGACGAACACAATTAACACTACTCTTCCACAAGGAGAGGTTATTTGGTTTTATTTGAACTCGATATCTATTGGTGCTGGCATTGTCGCGACTTATTTCTCGATGATTTCAATTTCAATATTTGGTTTGGTGTCTTCCAAAGTTCTCCACTGGAAGATGGTGAGAAATTTGATGAGGACGTCGTTGTCTTATTTTGATGTTACACCGCTTGGGAGACTTTTGAATTACTTTTCGCGCGACTTGCGATTTGTCGACTTCAATTTGCCGGTCCAATATGAAATGTTTATTGGACAGGGGTGTGAGATTCTCTCTTGTTTTATAGTCATTTGTGTCTGTTCTTACTATCTCGTCATTGTCGTTGTATTCTCGATTATTGTGTTCTTAATATTTCACACGTACTTTGTGCGCTCTTCAATTGAGATGCAAAGAATAGAAGGCATATCTCGATCCCCTATATTCATTCACTTTGACCAGACCTTAAGTGGTTTGACTACTGTAAGAAACTATAAAGCACAAGACACGTTCATTCAGTCGATTAACAAGAAGTTGAAAAACAACACATTGGCGTATTACACTTTACAAATGGCAATTTCGTGGTACTCCCAACGCCTCGACTGGCTTGGGATCTTTGTATCAATGTGCACTCTTATAGTGATCGTCGTCTTAAAAATTCAAAATGACATCCAAACGGGTGCTGCTGGTGTCGCGTTAATGAACGTGGCACTTTTAGGTACGCTCGTCTCTCGATTTTCTCAAAACATATTACAAGTCGACATCACAATGCAGTCTGTCGAGCGACTTTTGACACTAAAAGACATATCAGAGGAAGAGCCCAAATCCAAAACACTTCGTTATCAAGAAATTAAACCAAATTGGCCATCCAATGGATCAATCGAGTTTCGCAATTATGGGTTCAGATATCGAGACACTTTACCACCAGTGTTACAGGCTGTTTCCGCTCGTATCCAACCCAAAGAAAAAATTGGGGTTGTGGGGCGTACGGGGAGTGGTAAATCGACATTGATGGCTGGGATATTTAGAATTAATGAAGCGCTTGAGGGGAGTATTGTTATCGACAATGTCGATGTATCGGAGGTACCTCTTCACACACTACGGAAGCGTGTTTGTATATTACCGCAAGAAGCCACGATGTTCAGCGGTACCATTCGTGATAATATGGATCCAGAAAACACCAAAACTGAGGATGAAATTACTCGTGTGTTAAAGTTGGTGAACATTGACAAACCACTCGACTATCTCGTCACTGAAAATGGTGAGAACTTTTCTTTAGGCGAAAGACAGATGATTTGCATCGCGCGTGCGTTATTAAGAGGAGCAAAGATCTTAATAATGGACGAAGCTACAGCATCAATAGACATACAGACAGACATATTGATACAAGAAATGGTCCGAAAGAACTTTGTTGATTGTACAGTACTAACTATTGCTCATAGACTTCATACCATTATGGATTCCAATCGAGTCATGGTATTCGATAGTGGCAAATTAGTTGAAATGGGAACGCCTCTCGACTTATACAACATCAAGGAGTCTATTTTCCACAACTTAGTGAAGAAGTCTGGGTGTGAAAATGAACTCATTCAATTAGCCAAAGGTGAGAAGTCGATCGCAGAGACTTTAAAAAGCACAAAACAAGAAGAAAAATGATTAATACAAAATACATTGTTTTTAATATGATTTTACGTTAATTAATAAAATATAATAAAATATAATAAAATATAATAAATTAACATAGTGTTACATATTCGCCTTGTTATTTGAGTCCATATTCACTTTTCAGTGCAGCAATTTCAGCACGCGCATTATCGTACTTCGCACTGAGGATCGCAGTCTCACGTTTGATATTTCTCATTCCCTCCTCTGATCTCTGTTTGAAGAGTGCATTGCATTCAACCATTGTTTTAATTTCCAACAAAAGCCCTTGGTTTCTGTGTTGAATTTCATGGTAAGACACATAGACCATTTGCATTGTGTGTTGTAAAAACTCGATACGTCTTGCACTTGTGAGTTGTTTGATTTTATTTGTTTCTATAATGTTTTCTAATTCTTTTTGTGTTGTTCTTAAGTGTTCAATTTCTTTTGTATTTGTTTCCATCTTCAATTCTAAAACACTTTTTTCATCGAAAACTTTTGTCAAGTCATCATAGAGATGCTTTGATTTGTCTTTCTCTTGAGATAAATCCATTTCAAGTAACGTCTTTTGATCATTTACTTCGTCCATTCGTTTTTTAATCGCATCAAATTGTTTAATTGTCGTTTCAAGTTCACGTTCCTTCTCTTTCACTTCTTTTTCTAATTGATTTACTACCTCCTCATGCGTTGTCATTTCATTTTGAAGTTTCAATTTCTCTTCTTTTGTCTTTTCTAACTCGTTGTTGAGAAAGGTGTTGTCACTCTTTCTTTGTTCTATTTCGGCGTTCAAATTCTCAAATTGATTTTGAATTGTTTTGAGCTTCACTGAAGCTTCTTGAAGTTGGTCATCTTTTTGAGTGACGTACATTGTAAGTCGGTCTTTTTCATTGATCATCTTAATGAACTTCTCTTTCATTTTGTTTGAATTGTTCGTTTCATTCTGGACTTCCTCTTCGAGTGTTTTGATTTTCTTTTCCATTGTGTTGTTTTGGTTGATCATTTCATTAATTTGATTCATCGTTTTGTCCAATTCACAATCTTTTATTTTGATTTCGTTCTTCAACTTCAAATTCTCTTCTTTTTGTTCATCATTTTCTTTTGTTAATTCATCGATGTGTTCTTTTGAAGTGTTAAATTCTTGTTGTATCGTTTTCTTTTCTTCGTTTGTTATTTTAAGTTTATTTGTCATCTTCTCAATTTCTTCAGTCTTTCTTTTGCTTTCTTGTTCCATTTGAATAAATCTTTCGTCTTTCTCTTCTTTTGTATTGTAAAGTTGTTGATTCAGTTGTTTGATTTTCTCTTCAAATTCTTTCTTCTCTTTGTCACTTTCTTCAATCTTTTGAGTTGCCTTTTTCAACTCGCCTTCTTTTTCTTCAATAAGTTTCTCTTGTTGTGCTGTCTTTTCTTTTTGTGTGTTTAATTCACATTCTACTTTCATTTTTTCATCATTTGTTTTTGTCAGTTGTTCTTCCATGTTTTTGATATTACTTTGCATTTCATTTTGTGTTGTTTCTGCTTCTTTCAGTTTCTGTTCTTGTGAATTGAAAGTGGTTTTCAGTTCATCATTCTCGTTCTTTGCGTTTTCCAAAATTTCATTGATTTCTTTTTCTTTCTCTTTTTGAGCTGCTATATTCATTTCCAATTTCTGTTCAACTTCTTCTTTTTGTTTTTTAGTTGTTTCAATTATGTCGTCTTTGTCTTTGAATTTGTTTTCTAATTCATCTTTCTCTTGTTTTGTATTGTTGAGTTGTTCTTCTTGTTGTTTGATTTTCTTTTCAACTTCTTCTTTTTGTTTTGTTGTCTCTTCAAGTTGTTGATTCACTTTCTCCAGATTGTCATTTTTGTCTTTCAGTTCATTTTGCAATTGTTTTGTTGTTTTATTTTGATTTTCAATTGTTTTTTCCAACTCAACTTTCTCATTTATTGTTAATTTGAGTTTTTCAATGATCTTTTCTTTCTCCTTTTCTACACTGTCAAGTTTTTTGGTTATCTTTTCTTTCTCTTCTTCGAGTTGTTTGGATTTATCTTCTGCTTCTTTCTCAATTTTTCCAATCTTTTTAGTCGCCACATTTAATTCATCGTCTTTCTTTTTCAATTCACTTTCAATTTTAACTTTTTCTTCTTCTGTAGTTTTGAGTTGATTAACAACTTTTTCTTTTTCTTCTTTGATATTATCCAATTCTTCATTTAATTTGTTATTTTTCTCTTCTTCTGTTTTAACTGTGTTCATCATATCTTCTACTTTCTTCTCTCCTTCTTCTTTTTGTTTATTAACCTCTTCTTTTGTTGTGTCAAGTTCATTTGCAATCTTCTTGTTTTCTTCATTCAGTGTTTTGATTTGCTCTTCTATTTCTGTTTTCTGTTTGTTAATTTTATCTTTCTGTTCATTGATATTCGTTAATTTACCATTGAGTTGATTTATAGTTTCTTGTTTTGTCTTTGCATCACTTTCAATCATTTTAATTTGTTCATCTTTTATTTTAATTTCATTTTCAAATTTATTTTTCTCTTTCTTTGTTGCGTTAAGTTCTTTTGTTATTTTATCTTTTTCGGCTTCGAGTTGTTTGGCTTTATCTTCATTTCCTTTTAATGCTATTTCTAGTTCATTATTTTTGTTTGTCATCCTTTCCAAATTTTCATTCATTTCTTTTTCTTTTTCTTGTTGAGCTGCTACAATTGTCTCTATTCTCTTTTCAGTCTCTTCATTTTGATTTTCAATTGTTTTCTCCAAATCAACTTTCTCATTTGTTGTTGTCTTGAGTTTTTGAGTGATGTTTTCATTCCTTTCTTTTGTCTTTTCCAACTCGTCTGACAATGTTTTGTTGTTATTTTCAAGTTGTTCTTTTACAGTGTTGAATTTGTTATTTGTATCTTCAAGTTGTTTTGCAGTTTCATTCAACTCGTTTTCTTTTTCTTTCATTTGATTTTCTATTTCTTCTTTGAGTTTTATCTTTGTGTCAAGTTCTTTTTGTATCGTGTCTTTCTCTTCTTTTATTTGTTTTAATCCAGTTTTTATTATTTGATTTTCATTCTCAATTCGACTATTTTCACTTCTCGTTTTGATCAGTTCATCATTAATTGTCTTGTTTTTTTCTATTTCAGTTTGTATTTCTTCTTCAAGTTGTTTATTTTTCTCTTTGTATGTGCAGTTTTGTTTTTCAATCTTTTCCAGTTGTTGTAATGTACCTTTCAAATTTTCTTCTTTTTCTTTTAATACGATTTTTATTTTATCTTTTTCTGTATTAGTGTCATCCAATAGTTTCTTTGTTTGGTCTTTCTCGCTATTTGTTTTTTCCAAGTTTTCTAAAAGTTCTTTGAATTCGTCATTTCTTTTTACCAATTGTGTTTTTAATTCATTTGCATATTGTTCAGATTCACTTTTTATTTTTTGAGCGTCACAAAGTTGTTTTGACATCCCTTCCATTTCAATTATATTAGTTTCAAGTTGCGTTTCAAATTGTTCATTCTTCTCTCTTGTTTGTAGTAATTCTGTTTTTATATTCTCAATTGAGCTCTGTAATTCAATTCTCTCTTTGTTACCAAATTCAATTTGTTTATCCTTTTCGTTCTTTTCTTGGAGGAGTGGACCATATAATTCATTCAATCGTTTCAATTCATTTTCCATTTGTTTAACATTTTCTCGTTCATTTATAACATCACTTTCAAGTGATTTCGCTTTATTTACATTTTCTTGATTTTGTTTGTTGAGTTGTATAAATGCATTTCCCTTTTCTGTTAATTCACTTTCTGTTAATTTCATATTTTTCATTTTCTCTTCCATTTCTTGTATCATTTCTGTTGCCTTTTTCAGATCGTCTTCTTTTTCTTTGTTTGTTTTTTCCTCTTTTTCCAATTTTTCTATGAGTTGTACATTTTCATTTTTAATATTTTCTGTTTCTTTGTTTGCAATCTCAACTTTTTCTTTTTGTTCTTTCAATTCATTTTCTATTTCATCTTTCTCTTCTTTTGTATTGTAAAGTTGTTGATTCACTTTCTCCAAATTGTTTTGTAATTGAGTTGTTGTTTTATTTTGATTTTCAATTGTTTTTTCCAACTCAATTTTTTCATTTAATGCTGCCTTGTATTGTTGAGTAACATTTTCTTTCTCTTTTTCTACACTGTCATGTTTTTTGGTTATCTTTTCTTTCTCTTCTTCGTATTGTTTGGATTTATCTTCTGCTTCTTTCTTTTCTTTCTCAATTTCTTCAATCCTCTGAGTTGAAACATTTAATTCATCTTCGCGTTCTTTGATTATTTTCTCTTGTTTGTTTGATTTTTCCTTTTGTGTATTCAATTCACTTTTAAGTTGAACAATCTCTCCTTCTGTATTTTTGAGTTTTCCTGCAATTTTTTCGTTTTCTTGTTTTTGTGTATTTAACAATTGAGTTACATTTTCTTTCTCTTCTTCTGTAGTTTCGAGTTTTCGTTCAATTTTGACTATTTCATCTTTTGTTTTGTTCAGTTCTTTTGTTATATTTTCCTTTTCTTGATTGACACTGTTCAATTCATTTGTCATCTTCTCAATTTCATCATTCTTATTTTTGTTCTCTTCTTCTATTTTAATTATTCTTTCGTCTCTCTCTTTCTTTGCTTTCTCATCTTCTTCTAATTTCTCTTTAAGTTCTTTCAAATGTTTTTCCTTTTCTTGAATATCCTTTGTACAAACAACAATTTCTTCTTTCTTTTCTTTCAACTCATTTTCAAGTGTTTCAGTCTTTTTGTTGAGACCCGATATGACACTTCGATTATTCTGTTCACTTTTTTCCACCAATTCTTTCATCTCGCCAATTTCATGTTTTGTTTTGTTCAGTTCTTCTTTTGTTTGAATTAATTCTGCATTTGCCTTCGACAATTCTTCTGCAAATTCGTTGGTCTCGTTTTTAGTTTTTTCCAACTCATCGTTCACATTTGTATTTGTTTGTTCCAAGTTTTGGATGTTCTTAACAAACCCTTCGTTTATACTTTTAATTTCTTCCAATTGTCTTTCTAATTCACTTTTATCTTTCTCAACATTTTCAAGTGTGTTTTCTACATCCTTCTTTTCTTTCATTATCATTTCATTGTTTTGATTCATTACCACAACTTTTTCATTCAATAAGTTACACTCCTTTTGCAATTGTTCGTTGTTTTCATTCTTCTTTGCAATTTCCTCGTTACTCCTCTTCTCTTTTTCTCTCATCGCGTTTTGTGTTTCCTCCAGTGTTTTCGTCAATTCAGAATTTTTGTTTTGTTCTTCCAAAAGTTGTGAATTTGTTATTTCATTTTTAGCCATCACTTCATCCATTTTATGTTCAATGCCATCTCTTTCTTCTTTCATTGCTTTGAGTTCATTTTTTACATTTTCCTTCTCTCTTTTTGTCTTGTCCAACTCTTCATTTAAGTTTGTTGTGTTATCTCTTTCACCCAACAAATCGCTCTCAACCTTCTCTTTGTTTTTTTGTACTCTTTTAAGTTCTTCCTCATTTTTTATTTTCTCTTGTTGTGTCTTATCCAGTTGTGAACAAATAGTTTCATTCTTCTGCAAAAGTTCTTTCTTTTCCTTTTCAATATTTTTAATTTGTGTATTCTTAACAACCAAAGTCCCTTCAATCGCCTTCTTTTCATTTTCAATTTGTTCGTTCAATTTATTCAAATCAGTAATTTTGTCGAATTGTGTGTGGTTATCTTTCTCAAGTTTTTTGATGTTCTCTTCAAGACTTTCTTTTTGTTTTGTCAAGTTTTTGTTCTCTTCTACCAACTCGTCTATTTTAGTATTATTTACCAACTCTTTTTTATTCATCTCTTCAACTTTTTCTGTTGCTGCTTTGAGTTGGCACACCAAATCTTGATTCTTGTTTTCAATGTTTTTGTTCTGTTCACAAAGGTTTTTCAAGTCTTCTGTTAACTTGGTTTCTGAGGTCTTTATTTTTTCCATGGTTTGTACAAGTTTTTCATTTTCTGATTGTGATTGTTTCAACTGTTCTTTTGCTTTATCACTTTCTTCTTTAGTGTTCGTTTGTTCCTCATTTAAATTGTTCTTTTCCATTTTTAAGTTATCAAATTGGCGTTGCAACTCTCTTTGTTCGTCTTCGGTGTGTTTTAATTGCGACTCAGTTTCTCTTAAAGTGTCTTCAACTTTTTTCTTTTCGATTTCAACTTGTTCTTTCAATTTCTTCATTTCTTCATTTTCTTTTTGAAGGGTGTTAAGTTGAGTGTTGAGTTCTTGAATTTCTGTCTCTTGCTTTTCATTCTTTGCTTTCAACGAGTAAAGTTCATTCATCAATTTACCATTCGTTTCTTTCTCATTTGACAATTCTCCACTCGTTTTGTCTCTTTCAATTTTGACCAAATTAAGTTGTTCTTCAATTTTTGATTTGTCGTCTTTTGTCTGAGTAAGATCGGATTCCAACACATGAATAATTTCTTTAAGTTTGACAATTTCATTCTGAAGATCCTTTTGTGCCTTTTCATTGTTTTCCAACTGATTGTTTGTTAATGCCAAAATCGCTTCAATTTCATTCTTCTTATTTTCACCATCCACTTGCTCTCTTTGCAACAATTCAATTTGTTCTTTCTGTCTTTGAGTTTCATTTTCCAATTTTTGTGTTTGTGTCATCAATTCATTCTTTTCCTTTTCTGTCACTTCTTTTGCACTCTTTAAACTTTCGTTTTCATCATCCAATTTCTGTGTTATTTCTTTTTCGGTATAGAGTCGTGTTTGCAGCTCTTTGTTTTGTGATTCAAAAGATACTTTTTGCCGAGTCACTTCTTCAAGTTGCTTTGTTAATTCGGTGATACGTTTCTCTTTTTCATTAGTATCATTCTCAAGTGTGTTGTTGAGCACTTTTTGAGCTTCCAAATCGTCACACAGTTTTTTCTCTGATAATTTAGAATTTGCAAATTGTTCTTCTAATTTCATTTTCTCTTCTTTTGTTGTATCAAGTTCGGAAGTAACACCTTCAATTTTGGACTTCAGTCCGTTGTATTGTGTTTGGAGCTCCTTTTGCGATTTATCATAATCTTGAAGTTGTATATTTTTAGCTTTCAGTGTGTCTTCCATAACTCGATAATCGTTTTCCATTTGTTCTTTTGATTTCTTCAAATTTTCAATTTGTTCAGTTGTTAAACTTTCAAGTTTCTTGTTGTTTTCCTTTTGTGTGTCAATCTCTCTTTTTAATTCAATTTCAACTTCTTTGGCATTTTTCAATTCACATTCTACTTTCATTTTTTCATCATTTGTTTTTGTCAGTTGTTCTTCCATGTTTTGATATTACTTTGCATTTCATTTTGTGTTGTTTCTGCTTCTTTCAGTTTCTGTTCTTGTGAATTGAAAGTGGTTTTCAGTTCATCATTCTCGTTCTTTGCGTTTTCCAATTTTTCATTGATTTCTTTTTCTTTGTCTTTTTGAGTTGCAATAACTGTTTCCAATTTCTGTTCAGCTTCTTCTTTTTGTTTTTTAGTTGTTTCAATTATGTCATTTTTGTCTTTCAGTTCATTTTGCAGTTGTAATGTTGTCTTATTTTGATTTTCAATTGTTTTTTCCAACTCAACTTTCTCATTTGTTGTTAATTTGAGCTGTTCAACGATCTTTTTATTTTCTTCTTTTGTCTTTTCCAACTCGTCTGACAATGTTTTCTTGTTATTTTCAATTTGTTCTTTTTCATCTTGAAGTTTTGTAAGATCAGTTTGTAATGTATTTACTTTCTCTTCCAAATTATTCTTTAACAATTTGATGTTTTCAATTATCTCATGTGCTTCTTTCTTTTCTTTCTCAATTTCTTCAATCTTTTTAGTCGCAATTTTGAATTCGTCTTCTTTTGTTTTTAGTGCCATCTCTTGTTGTGTTGTATTTTCTTTCTGCAAAGCCATTTCTTTTTCAATTTTGTCTTTCTCATCTTCTGTAGTTATGAGTTGATGAGCAACTTTGTCTTTTTCGTTTTGACATTTTTCCAACTCTTCATTTAGTTTCTTTGTTTTCTCTTGTTCTGTTTTGATTGTGTTCATCATACTTTCTTCTTTCTTTTCAACTTCTTGTTTAGTCGCAACAATTTCATTTGCAATCTTTTTGTTTTCTTCACTCATTGTCTTAATTTGCTCTTCGACTTTGGTTTTCTCATTTAGTAATTTGTCAATTTCACCTTTGACTTTCTCATTGTCATTTTGGAGTTGTTTTGAAATCTCTTTCTCTTTCATCAAATCAAATTGGAGTGTTTGATTTTTGTCTTCAATTTCTCTTTTTTGGTTTTCAGTGTCTCCAAGTTGTTGAGTTACATTTCTTAATTTCTCATTCAACTCGTCTTGAGATTTTTGTTGAGAACGTTCAACTGTTTCATTTTCTTGTTTCAATGCAATCACTTCATTTTGAAATTTTGTTATTTCACCAACTCGGTCTTCTATTACCAATTGAAAACGTTTTGACTCTTCACTTGCATTTTTGGTGTTTTCATCAATTTGTTTCCTCAACTCATCATTTTCAACTTTCTCTTTTATTATTATTTCTTCTTGTGTTTTAAGTTTAGTGTCATCAGCGTCGATGGTTGATTTGAGTGTGTTATTTTCTTTTATAAGTTCTTCGACTTGAATTGCATTGTTTTTCTTTTCATCTTCATTTGATTTAATGAGTTGTTCCTTTTCTAATGTACTTGTTTTTTCCAAATCGTTGAGTTTTAATTGTAGTTTGTTTATTTCATTGTTGAGTTCATCTTCCTTTGTATTAGTAAGTTTGATTTGTTCATCGAGTTCATTTTTCAGTTTGTTGTTAATTGTGTTCAATTGATCTATTTTGTTTTTGTTGATTTGTTCGTTGTGTTGATATTGATCAATTTGTTTCTCATTTTCAGCTATTTTGGTGTTGAGTGTGATGATTTTTTCTTTGTGTTCTTTCATCTCGTCTGCATTCAATTTTGCAATCTCTTCATATTTTGCGTTTTGTTTGTTGAGTGTTTCATTGTTTGCTTTTTCATGATCAATTTGTTGTTGCATTTTGTCAATTTCCTCTTTGTTCTTTGTGTTGTTATCGTTGTGTTGTTGTTGTTCTTTCTGTAACTCCTCTTCAAGTTCGGCTATTGTTGTTTTCATACAATCACATTCAGCACTAAACTTTTCTTTTTGTTCTTTCAATTCGTGTTCAATTTTATCTTTCGCTTCTTTTGTTTTGTTAAGTTGTTCATTGATATTTTCTTTTTCTTCGTTTGTTGTTTTCAATTGATTTGCAACTTTGTCTTTTTCTTCTTTTGTATTCTCAAGTTCTTGTTGTATTTTGTCTTTCTCTTCTTCAATTGTTTTGATTTTCTCTTCAAATTCTTTCTTGATTTTCTCATTTTCTTCAATCTTTTGAGTTGCCTTTTTCAACTCGCCTTCTTTTTCTTCAATAAGTTTCTCTTGTTGTGCTGTCTTTTCTTTTTGTGTGTTTAATTCGCCTTCTACTTTCATTTTCTCATCATTTGTTTTTGTCAGTTGTTCTTCCATGTTTTTGATGTTATTTTGCATTTTCTCTTTTTCATTTGTCATCTTTTCCAATTTTTCATTCATTTGTTTTTCCTTTTGTTGTTGAGTTGCTATAATTTCTTCCACTTTTTTATCATTTTCTTCCTTTTGTTTTGTTGTCTCTTCAAGTTGTTGATTCACTTTCTCCAAATTGTTTTGTAATTGAGTTGTTGTTTTATTTTGATTTTCAATTGTTTTTTCCAAATCAACTTTCTCATTTGTTGTTAATTTGAGTTTTTCAGTGATCTTTTCTTTCTCTTTTTCTACACTGTCAAGTTTTTTGGTTATCTTTTCTTTCTCTTCTTCGAGTTGTTCTATTTTCTCGTGTGCTTCTTTCTTTTCTTTCTCAATTTTTCCAATCTTTTTAGTCGCCACATTTAATTCATCGTCTTTCTTTTTCAATTCACTTTCAATTTTATTTTTCTCTTCTTCTGTAGTTTTGAGTTGATTAGCAACTTTGTCTTTATCATTTTGACTCTTTTTCAATTCTTCATTTAATTTGTTATTTTTCTCTTGTTCTGTTTTGACAATGTTCATCATACTTTCTTCTTTCTTTTCTGCTTCTTTCTTTTGTTTTTTAAATTCTTCTTTTGTTGTGTCAAGTTCATATACAATATTCTTATTTTCTTCACTCATTGTCTTAAGTTTCTCTTCTATTTCTGTTTTCTGTTTGTCAATTTCTTCTTTCTGTTGTTCAGTGTTTGTTAATTTTTCACTAAGTTGATTTATAGTTTCTTGTTTTGTCTTTGCATCATTTTCAATCATAGCAAATTGTTCATCTTTTATTTTAATTTCGTTTTTCAACTTATTATTTTCTTCTCTTTGTTCTTCATTTTCCTTTCTTTTTGAATCCAGTTGTTGTTCAATTTTATTACAATCTTCCTTGGTCTTCACAAGTTCCTTTTTGAAAGTATTTTTATCAAATTCAATGGTTTTTATTTGCTCAACAATTTTATCCTTTTCATTTTTTGTCTCTTTCAATTGGTCTATCAAAAGTTTTTCATTTTGATGTTCTTTCGCAACTTCCTTTTCCAAATTTTCAATTTGTTTTGTTGTTTGAATATATTGGGATTCCTTTTCAATGAGTTGACCCCTCAGAACTTCTTTTTCTTTTTCCATTATTGTTAAATTCTCTTTCAGTTTGTTCGACTTTTCTTGTTCGGATTTAATATCGTCCTCCATTCTCTTCGACTTCTTTTCACTTTCTTCTTGTAACTTTTTATTTGTTTCCAATTCATTTAACCTTTCAACTAATTCACTTTCTTTCCTCTTTATTTCCGCATCTAAAATTTCAAGTTTTTCTTCGGACATTTTCTTTTCTTCTTTTGTTTTTTGAAGTTCTGCAATCAAAGTGTCTTCTCGAATTTGCGTCTCATGTCGTAACTTTTCAACACTCATAAGTTCGTTACTTTTTGTTCTTAAATCATCTTCAATTTGGTCTTTTTCACGTTTTAAGTTTGATACATCACAACACAATTGAGTGTTTTCATCTTTCAGTTTGCTTATGACATTAGTTTCTAATTCTTTTATTGTGTTCTCCACAGAAGCCTTCTGAGTTTTCAATTCATCAAGTTGTTTATTTAAGTTATCATTTGTATCGCAAGTTTCTTTCAATTTCGTTGTAATCGTTCTAATAGTATCTTCTTGTTCTTCAATTGATTTCAAATTCTTTTCTTTATCCTCATTAATTGCTACAATTTGTTGTCGCATTTGTTCCAATGTACTCTCCGTTGTTATTTTGTCAGCTTCGATTTTTTCTTTTTCCATGATTGTTTTTGATAACTCGTCTTTCAACTGATTTCCACTTAGTTGTTCATTCTTTAATTGTTCTTCCAAGTCTTTTGTTTTCTTGTCACATTCAGTCTTTTCTTGTTGCAATTCTTCGATTTGTTTTGTTGCTTTTTTCAATTCAAATTCGTTTTGTTTGTTGTCATTTTCTAATTTACCAAGTTGTGTATTTAATTCAGATACTTTTTCCAAAAGTTGTTTGGAATTATTCCTTTCATTTGTAAGATCTGTTTGTGTTGTGTTAACTTTTTCTTCTAAGCTATTCTTTTGTGATGTAATATCTTTTATTTTCTTCTCTCCTTCTTGTTTGGCTGTGACAAGTTCATTTGCAATCTTCTTATTTTCTTCGTTCATTGTCTTAAGTTTCTCTTCTATTTCTGTCTTCTGTTTGTTAATTTTATCTTTCTGTTCATTGATATTCGTTAATTTTTCATTGAGTTGATTTATAGTTTCTTGTTTTGTCTTTGCATCACTTTCAATCATTTCAAATTGTTCATCTTTTATTTTAATTTCGTTCTTTAACTTATTATTTTCTTCTTTTTGTTCTTCAACTTCTTTTCTTTTTGTATTCATTTCGTCGTCTAATTTCAATTTTTCTTCTTTTGTCTTGTTAAGTTCTTTTGTAATTTCTTCTTTTTCTTTTTCAAGAACTTTGTTTGTTTGTGTCGTTTTTGTGAGTTCTCCTTTCAAATCCTCTTCTGCTGTTTTCTTTTCATTTTTCATCTTTTCCAACTTTTCATTCAGTTGTATTTCCTTTTCTTGTTGAGTTGCGACAACTTCTTTGATCTTCTGTTCAATTTCTTCTTTTTGTTTTGTTGCCTCTTCAAGTTGTTGATTTATTGTTTTTTCCAACTCCACTTTTTCATTTGTTGTTAATTTGAGCTGTTCAACGATCTTTTCATTTTCTTCTTTTGTCTTTTCCAACTCGGTTTTTATTGTTTGATTTTCTTTTTCAATTTGACCTTTTTCGCTTCTAGTTTTGGCCAATTCATCGTTTATTCTTTCTTCTTTTTCTTTGTTTGTTTTCACTTCTTTTTCCAATTTTTCTATGAGTTGTATATTTTCGTTTTTAATATTTTCTGTTTCTTTGTTTGCAATCTCAACTTTTTCTTTTTCTTCTTTCAATTCGTTTTCTATTTCCTTTATCTTTTCTGTTGTATTATGAACTTGTTGGTCCACGTTTTCTTTTTCTTTTTTGATATCATTAAGTTCTTCTGTTATTTTTTCTTTTTCATTTTCGAGTGTTTGTGTTGTCAGTGTTGATTTTACAATTTGTTCATTTAATTGTTCTATTTTTTCTTGTGCTTCCTTTTCAATCTCTTCAATCTTTTTAGTCGCCATATCCAATTCATCTGTTTTCTTCTTCATTTTATTTTCAATTTTATCTTTTTCGTCTTTTGTTGTATTGAGTTCTTGTTGTATTTTTTCATTTTCTTGTTTTTGTGAATTCAACTTTTGAGTTATATATTCTTTCTCTTCTTCTGTAGTTTTAATTTGATTTGTAATTTTATCTTTTTCTTCTTTTATATTATTTAATTCTTCATTTAATTTGTTATTTTTCTCTTCTTCCGTTTTGATTGTGTTCATCATATCTTCTATTTGTTTATTAGCTTCTTTGTTTAATGTATTTGTTTCTTCGAGTTGTTTATTTATATTCTCCAATTGACTTTCTTTGTCTTTCAATTCATTTTGTAAATTTGTGGTTTTAGTTTTTTGATTTTCCAGTGTTTCTTCCAATGCTATTTTTTCTGATTTTGTTTTTTCAAATTCCTTTCGAGTTTCATCAAATCTTTTCGCCTCTTTATCAAACGCGTCTTCATTTAGCTTTTTGTCGTTTTCAATTTGTTCCTTTTCAAATTGAATTCGTTTCAATTGATTGTCCATTTGTTTCAAATTTTCGTTGATTGTTTCTTTTTGTTTTCTGATATCGTCTATTTGTTTTGTATTCTCTTCCTTTGTTGCCACAAGTTCTTTTGCAATTTTATGAGCCTTATCTTTCGCAAAATTTAATTCATTTTCCAATACAATTTTATCTTCTTTCATTTTTTCGAATGCGAAATTGACTTCATTTATTTTGTTATTCATTTCTTCTTTTTCCTTTACAACATTTTCAAAACGTGCTTCTGCGTCTGCCAATTTATTTTCTATTTGTTTTTTTTCATTCTCCAACTCATTCTTTTCGTTACTAATTTTTAATAATTGATCCTCAAATTGTTTAGACTTCTTTTGTTCAGTGAGTATAACAGTTTTTAATGTATCATTTTCTTTATTTTTATCGTTAAGTTGTTTATTCGCGTCATCTTGTTGTTTTGTGAGTACTTCTTCCAATGTTTTTATTTGTTTATTTGTATTTTCGACGACTTCATTCTTTTCATTTTTAAGTTTTTCCAATTCAGATAACGTGTTTGTTATATTCATTTTTAATTCATTATTTTCATTTTCAAAATTTTGTTTTTCATCAACAATTTTAGCCATCCGATTCTCTATTTTTATTTTTTTCTCATTCAAATTTGATTTGTCGGTGTTAGCATTTTCAAGTTGTTTTGTGATGTCATCTATTTGAATTTCTTTTTCTTTTAGTGTGTTTTCGAGTGTTGTGTTCTTTTCTGTTTGTGTTTGTAATTCTTTTGTGCCTTTCTCTTTTTCTTCATTTAAAATTTGAATTCGTTGTTCATTTTCATGATTTTGCAATTCAAGTTGAATTCTTTGTTTTTTTATAAATTGATTTTCTTTTTTAATTGTTTCTAATTTTTCGGTCAATTCTTTTGCTTTACTTTGTTCTTCTGAAAGTTGAATTGAAGTTGTTTTTTCTTTTTGTTCAGCTTCTTCTTTTTGTTTTTTAGTTGTTTCAATTATGTCATTTTTGTCTTTCAGTTCATTTTGCAGTTGTTTTGTTGTTTCTTTTTGATTTTCAATTGTTTTCTCCAAATCGATTTTCTCATTTGTTGTTGTTTGAAGTTTTTGAGTGATGTTTTCATTCTCTTCTTTTGTCTTTGCCAATTCATCCAAGAGTGTTTTGTTGTTATTTTCAAGTTGTTCTTTTACAGTGTTAAATTTGTTATTTGTATCTTCAAGTTGTTTTGCTGTTTCATTCAACTTATTTTCTTTTTCTTTCATTTTGTTTGTTATTTCTTCATTGAATTTCTTCGTTGTGTCAAGTTCTTTTTGTATCATGCCATTTTCTTCTTCAAGTTGTTCAATCTTCTCTTTCTTTTCTTTCTCACTTTCTTCAATCCTTTTCATTGCAATTATTAATTCATCTTCTTTTTCGTTGATTATTTTCTCTTGTTGTGTTGTTTTTTCCTTTTGTGTATTCAATTCACTTTCAATTTTGTCTTTCTCTTTTTCTGTAGTTTTGAGTTGATTAGTTATTTTGTTTTTTTCATTTTTTATATTATCCAATTCTTCATTTAATTTGTTATTTTTCTCTTGTTCTGTTTTGACAATGTTCATCATATCTTCTACTTTCTTCTCTGCTTCTTCTTTTTGTTTATTTGCCTCTTGTTTGGCTGTGACAAGTTCATTTGCAATCTTCTTATTTTCTTCGTTCATTGTCTTAAGTTTCTCTTCTATTTCTGTTTTCTGTTTGTCAATTTCTTCTTTCTGTTGTTCAGTGTTTGTTAATTTTTCATTGAGTTGATTTATAGTTTCTTGTTTTGTCTTTGCATCACTCTCAATGTTATTAAGTTGTTCATTCAGTTGTTTTGTTTTTAATTCAAATTCTTCTTTCTGTTTCTCGTTTTCTTTTCTTTTTGTATTCAATTCGTCTGTTATTTCATCAACACGTTTCTTTGTTGTCTTGAGTTCTGTTGTTATCTTATCTTTTTCGACTTCGAGATGTGTGACTTTTTCTTCATTTTCTTTCAATTCATTTACAATTTTCTCTTTTTCATTTGTCATCTTTTCCAAAATTTCATTGATTTCTTTTTCTTTCTCTTTTTGAGCTGCTATATTCATTTCCAATTTCTGTTCAACTTCTTCTTTTTGTTTTTTAGTTGTTTCAATTATGTCGTCTTTGTCTTTGAATTTGTTTTCTAATTCATCTTTCTCTTGTTTTGTATTGTTGAGTTGTTCTTCTTGTTGTTTGATTTTCTTTTCAACTTCTTCTTTTTGTTTTGTTGTCTCTTCAAGTTGTTGATTCACTTTCTCCAGATTGTCATTTTTGTCTTTCAGTTCATTTTGCAGTTGTTTTGTTGTTTCTTTTTGATTTTCAATTGTTTTCTCCAAATCAACTTTTTCATTTATTGTTAATTTGAGCTGTTCAACGATCTTTTTATTTTCTTCTTTTGTTGAATCAAGTTCTTCTGTTATTTTTTCTTTTTCATTTTCGAGTTTTTGTGTTGTCAGTGTTGATTTTGCAATTTGTTCTTCAAGTTGTTCAATCTTCTCTTTCTTTTCTTTCTCAATCTCTTCAATCTTTTCTGTTGTTGCATTTAATTTGTCTTCTTTTTCTTTTATTTGTTTTTCCAAATCATCTGTTTTCCTTTTAAATTTCTCTTCAATTTCTTTCTTCTCATTTGTAATTTTATCTTTTTCTTCTTTTATATTATCCAATTCTTCATTTAATTTGTTATTTTTTTCTTCTTCTGTTTTGATTGTGTTTATCATGTCTTCTATTTTCTTCTCTCCTTCTTGTTTATTTGTGTCAAGTTCATTTACAATCTTTTCTTTTTCAACTTCCAATAGTTTTAATTTCTCTTCTGTTTCTTTCTTTTCATTTTTGATTTCTTCCAACTTTTCATTGATTTGTTTTTCATTCCCTTGTTGAGTTGCTTCGATCGTTTCAACTTTCTTTTCGGCCTCTTCTTTCTGTTTTATTGTTTCTTCGATGATATCATCTTTGTCTTTCAGTTGATTTTGCAGTTGAGTTGTTGTTTCATTTTGTTGTTTAATTGTTTTCTCCAATTCAATTTTCTCATTTGTTGTTGTCTGAAGTTCTGTTGTTACTTTATCTTTTTCAGCTTCAAGTTGTTTCATTTTTTCTTCCACTTCTTTCTTTTCCTTTATTATTTCTTCCACTTTTTTATCATTTTCTTCCTTTTGTTTTGTTGTTTCTTCCAGTTGTTGAGTCACTTTCTCCAATTCACTTGTTTTTTCCTTTAAAGTCTTTTCCTTTTCAGCATTAAGTTGTGTGATTTCTTCCTTTAATTGTTTCACGAGATTATTGTTTTCATTTTCCACGTCACTTTTCTCTTTATTTTGATTATCGTTGATACGAATAATTCCCTCGCTTTTTATACTCTTTCCGATATTGAGTGGTAACGTAGCGTGTTTTACAAATAACGGATTTGTTTCCTTTGCCGTAGTCATATCCAATGATAAACTCATTGAACTTTCTGCTCTCTGCAGTCGTGGAGTTCTTCTTTTAGTAGCCAAAACTGGTGTTTTTTCTCCTGAGTTTTCTTTTGGAGAAGTTGACCCCGATCTTTCAAACGTGTTAATTCTATCGGAAATTGATTTTGTGTTGATAGTAATAGGTGGGACGTGTTTTGCGTCACTCATCTGTTTTTGTATATCGTTTAAGTCGAAAATCTGAGACTTCCGCCGTTCAATAGTTCTTCTTGGAATGACATTTTTGGGGTTTTCGATATTTGATTTTGACGACACGATATTTTTCGATGGTGAGAATTGCCGACTCTTTCTTTTCTCTTTGTTCACAACAACATTCAACTTTTTGAAAGTTTCTTCTTGCTTCAAGACCTCCTTTTCAAACTTCTTCAATTTAGTGAGTGTGGGGTCGTCATCTTTGTCACTTAAAGTTTCCATCTTTTCAAGTGCACTTGATGAGATATCGATATCATCCAAATTACTGAGTAAATCCTCGAGCCCTTCTAACATTCCGTCCATTTCTTTAGCTTCTTTTGGCTTGGTTTCGTCGTCGTCATTGGGCCAAATAACTTTCACATTTTTTACACAGTCCAGCATTCTTTGAAGGACATTTTTCACACGTTTCTTCAAAGAGACTTTTGCTGAAATTCTCTTGTTTTTTATCTCGTCGGCAATACGCTTTATTTCTAAGTTATCATCAAGCTTAGTCTCTTTCATGACACAAAAAGACAAATAGAAAAAGAGGCAGAAATCGTCGACTTTGTCGTCCGCAACGTAATTTTCATCAAGAAGTCTTGGGATGTTCAGAAGTTGATACCCAGCATCCAAACACAATTTAACGTTCTGAACGTGTTTTTCTGTGAATTTTGATACATCAACGGTATTTGGTCGTAAATAATTCATCAATTTCGCAAGAACGACACCATCGCACAACGACTTTTTAAGTACAAAATCAACGTCTGTACTATTCGTTCTCATTTTCACCCACTTCGTTAAGTCGGCCATTGGGATGTTACAGACTATATGTGATATCATTTCTTTCAAATTGATGTAATTTGTCATTAATAAGTAAATGTAAGAAATAAAACACGCTCAATATATTATTTTAGATGTAACGAATATAACACAATTCTTTGGTGTTGTTGTATATAAGCTTATTTGTCTTGTTTTCAAACATCGAAGTAAATTGTGTGTAATTAAATTTATTAAATAGTGACAAATTTGTACATGAAAGAGTAAAAAGTGTTGATAAAAATGGAATAAAATAGACAAACCTCCCAGTTGGTATTGTACCACAAGTTGATAAAGTAACGACAAAATCAATTTAGTGTCGCCGTCAAGTATATTTTCCGCAGACGTTGTAATTTTTGTGTTATCTTCTTTTAAAATTTTCAGAATAGCGTCAATTGATTGATTTTAGAAATCCTGGTCGAAAGGTTTTGTGATGGATTTGAATCTCTTTGTATGTCAAATTTTGAATGAACCTTCCGAAGATTCTGCAGTCTTGTAAATCCTCATACAAATCGTTTACAAAGGGTTTCTCTGTTAATGTGAAGTTAATGAAAGCAGTGAACGCCTATTTTTTAGACTCTTTAGTATATTAATCGATATCAAAATGATCATAATAAGACTGTCGTCTCAATCAATTATTATTATAGTAATACTACAAACTATTATCTGTTGAAGGTCCGCCAACTCAGAACGCTCCTTTGAAGCGTAAAGAGATGACCTTCCCTTTCGTATCTCCTTTGACATTATAAATAAATACTTTCAAAGTTTGTGTTAAGTTTTCTCTATACTTTATTCAAGACTATTTTAAGGCAATTACTAGACATTTTTTTTGGCTTCATTATCCCACTTTTTTTCTTCTTTTATTCTGAATGTGATGGTGTCACTAAAACTATTATTAAAATGTTTTTGGTATCATTCTGTTCTTTTTTTTTATTCTTGTAGTAGGGTTCGTTAAAAAGTACTCTTTTCACAAAGAAGTTAACTCTTCCCTTTTTTGTTGGTACATTTTTATCAAAAGTGCGGATTTGTATTGTTGAAACAAACTTTGAAAAAATAGTTTTTGGTAATTATACAATAACTATTGATGTGGTATAAAGTTCCCGTGTTTTTATGATCAATAAATCTAATGAAAAAATAACTTTATTTGTCCAAAATATTTGATTGTTATTTATTTAGATTGTCTTGATGAGAATGAACAATAGAAAAATCTTATTGTAAAAACAACTATAATTGTTAATATAATAATTCGCTTTTAATAAATTATTTTGTATAGTTTGACAAAAAAATATCAGTAAATACTATATATTTATTGAATAATTAACTATTTTTACAACTAAAATATTTTATAAACATTTTACAAAATATCACTATTTTTGTATTTTGTAAAATATTATATAATTAAAAATATAGTTTAAATAAACTAAAATATAGTCATCAAAAGATAATACTTTGAATTATTACATTTATAATATATTTTATTATAACAATATAGTAAAATTGTTGATTCTAATTTATACTAATAAGAATCAATAAAACAATAGTTTAACTAACACTAAAAAAAACCAAAGAGTAATAGAATAATTTGTTAAAGTTCGTCCTTCTCGTAATCTTCGTAGTTACCATATTGTTTGTTATCGTAACCTGGTGCTTGTTGTTGCTCTCCACCGCCATACTTAGCGAGAATAGGTTGGGCGATTTGTTCAATCTGTTTGTATTTATCGTCGCACTCCTCCTTAGTTGGATTAGTGTTGTCTTCAAGGAACTTAGTGACTTCCTCGACTGCGTCTAACAAGACTTTCTTGTCAGCCTCGTCGATCTTTGAACCGAGCTTTTCTTTATCATTCACCGAGTTCTTAATTTGATATGCGTAGTTCTCAAGGGAGTTCTTTGCTTCGACTTGTTCTTTGACCTTCTTATCATCATCGGCTCTCTCAGCAGCTTCTTTGATCATTCTCTCGATTTCTTCTTCAGAGAGTCTTCCCTTATCTGAAGTAATTGTGATCTTTTCGGACTTCCCAGACTTCTTGTCTTCAGCAGAGACTGTCAAGATCCCGTTCACATCGACTTCAAATGTGACTTCGATCTGTGGAACACCTCTTGGTGCGGGTTCGATTCCTCCCAAGTCAAATTTCCCCAAGAAGTGGTTGTCCTTAGTCATAGCTCTTTCGCCTTCAAAGACTTGAATAGTGACTGATGGTTGATTGTCTTGATATGTAGAGAAGACTTGTGACTTTGAAATTGGAATGTGAGTGTTTCTAGCAATTAATGAGGTCATCACACCACCGACTGTCTCGATACCAAGAGTCAATGGAGTCGTGTCCAACAAGACGATATCTTCAGTACCTTTAATGTTACTCAACACACCACCTTGTACAGCAGCTCCGTAAGCAACAGCTTCGTCTGGATTGATCCCACGAGATGGCTCTTTCCCATTAAAGAATTCCTTAAGTAATTGTTGGACCTTTGGAATACGAGTAGACCCACCAACCAACACGACCTCATGAATAGCTCCCTTCGACATCTTAGAGTCTTCCAAGACCTTCTTGACTGGGGCAATAGTAGACTTGAACAAGTCCATATTAAGTTCTTCGAACTTGGCACGAGTCAAAGTGAATGAGAAATCGACGCCATCGGCCAAGTTCTCAATTTCGATTCTGTCTTGTTGTTGGACGGAAAGAGTTCTCTTTGCTCTTTCAGCTTCTCTTCTTAACCGAGTGACTGCTCTCTTGTCCTTTGACACGTCTTTACCATATTTACGCTTGAAGACGTCGAGGAGGTATTCAGTGACTTTCTGATCAAAATCGGAACCACCGAGATGGGTATCACCTGATGTCGAGACAACATCAAAAACGTTTTCTTCGATATTCAAAAGGGAGACATCGAATGTTCCTCCTCCAAGATCGAAGACCAAAATGTTCTTCTCACCGGTGACTTTGTTCAACCCATAAGCCATAGCAGCGGCGGTTGGTTCATTCAAAATTCTTAAGACATTGAGACCAGCAATTTTACCGGCGTCTTTAGTAGCTTGTCTCTGAGCGTCATTGAAATATGCTGGAACGGTGACTACGGCGTGCTTCACTTCTTTACCAAGATACATCGAAGCGGTGTCGGCCATCTTCTTTAATATCATAGCGGAGATTTCTTCTGGGGAGTAAGTCTTCTGTTCGCCCTTATAAGTGACTTCGATGAATGGCTTGTTATTCTTATTCACTATTTTGAATGGGAACAACTTCAAGTCTCTCTGGACTTCCTTGTCTGTGTAAGTTCTTCCAATGAGTCTCTTAATTTCGAAGACGGTGTTCTCAGGGTTAGAGACCTGTTGGTTTCTAGCGGCTTCACCAACCAAGATTTCTGTGTCTGTGAAAGCCACAATTGATGGTGTAATTCGGTTACCTTGGTCATTCACAATGATTTCGACACCTTTCCCTTCGCCGTTGTACATACCAACAGCAGAGAAGGTCGTTCCAAGATCGATACCAATGACTGGTCCGTCGATTTTGTCTTCTTCGTCCTTGGGTTTTTCGTCCAAGGCGAATACAGTTGTGATGTAAAGTATGGTAAGAAGTGTGTGGAGTACCATAATGCGTTTTTAGTTCGGGTCTGTGTCTTTTATATCGTCTACTGTGATAATAATATGATATGAGAGGGGATAGGTTCTGGGCTACAAGTCGCCACGTACTGACAGAAAAGGTGAAAAGTTCTGGTTTAATTATTTTATGGCATATCATCTTAAGTGGGACTTTCGGTCAGCTTTTGTTGTTTAATAATAGTTACTATAATTAATAATTAAATATATTATATTTATTGATTTCCATTTTTTAAAAAAAAGTAATGGCATATAACTGTATTATTTTTACAAAAAAGATACTATTGCCGAAATAAAGAATTCAAAAAAGCGAAATAGAAAAAATGACTTCCAGACTTATCTTGGAAGTTGGGAATTTGGAGATTATCAAAACATAAAAAACTAGAAATAAACCATTGTTTTAATTAAAATGGTATTAACTATAATAATATTATGATAATATTATTTATTAGTTTTTTTATATATTATATATTTAGACAACTATTTTTAGATACAATAGTTTTGTTTACTAAATAGTAACAGATGTGGGACTAAGGTATCGACTTACTATTTAAATACTCTTTGAATAATAATGAACAAATTTCCTCATTTATTTTTCTAAATAGACCAAATAAAATTTTTCATATTTGGTTTTTACAACGGTAGAGTCTGTCTTTTAACGTTATCTGGTGGACAAAAAATAGCTTCATTTTTGTCTAAACATCAGGCATTAGGTAAAGCGTGAAAAAACCCGAAACAATTGGGATGGATTTTTGGGACTGCTCCCCGAATTATTCCATTTTTTATGGTCCAAAAGGCACCAGATAACGTTTGAGACCAGATAACGTTAAAAGACAGACTGTATAGAAATTATTAACACGTTTCCTTGTTTCGCTGTTAATTTTTTTATTAGGCAGTGTTATTTTTTTCTTTTTTTGTCATTTGGTCTTTTAAAAAAGACTGTCATGCCCGTTTTATTTTTTCTTAACATTTTTCTGCACAAGGATATTACTCAAACCAACTAACAAATAAGAACTAGTTTAAATAAGATATTATATCGAAGATATAATTTTTATATTTTTTCGGGATTTACTCAATAGAAACATCAGAAATCCCGAGACATATATTTTCAAGCCGATAAAATTTTTAGTATTGGCGATGTACTTGGAGTTTCCAAAACAGATTCACTATCATACATTTCAACCACCTTAAATGTCATTGTTATTGAATATATAAATTAATATATACATTACATTAAACAAACATGTTCACTTATTGTTGTAATACATTCTATAACACAGTTTGTTGTAATTCAATTTTTTAAAAAGATAATAGTTTGCTGGCTTGTCTGTTTTTCGTTTTTTTAATTCTTTGTAATACGTTCCGTTGTTTTTATCCAACTTATTGGTGTGATTGTTTTCAACCTTTTTACTAAAAATCTATCTAAAATTTAATTTGATTATTTTTGAGATGTGAACAAAAATTCTGAGTTGGTGAAAAACAATCTTGAAAAATAAAACAAACTATATAGTTCTTAAAAACAACTATATTTTATGTTTCAAAAAATAAACTAATTATTAATTAGTGATAAAAAAATAGCGGAATAACAAGATCAATTAGACTATTGAAACAAACACCGTTGTATATTTTCTTTCAAATATAATATAATATATATTTTCAAACATATTCAATTCGACAAAAAAATAATTGTGAATATTGTTTCTTAAAAAACTTGTTGGAAGTAAAGAACTATTACTCCAACTATCATCTTCGGGACAACATCGTTTTTGTTGTTGTTTAAAAACAGTAAAATTTTGGTACCTTTACAAAGTCGTTATTTGCTATTGATAAAATGGTATAATTACATTAATATCATAATTAATTTATAAAATCAAATGAAAATATTATCATAATAATACTTTCAAAGTAAATGGTTTGATATTAATAAAAAATAGTAAGGCTAAGTTTTAGTTATTCAAAAAATAGATTGAAGCAAAAACGGTATTATGGTGAAATAAATTAACAAAAAAAATACACAAAAAATAAAACCTGTTAATTATTAGTCGAAACCATAGTTCTGTTAAAAACCTTAGTACCACATTTGTACTCTTTGCTTAATAATGCATAATTTCCTTTTCAAATCACATGTTTATAAAACATAAATTTGTGCATATGATAAGACTTATTTTCTTTCTCTTTTATATCACAATATAAATTGGAAAATATCATAATAAGACAAAATTTTTGAAGAGGTTGAACTTCTTCTTGATTTATTATAATTATACTAAATAATTAAAAACAATTAAAAAAGTAATTATTTAATAATGGTTACTGTTTTACTCAATAAATGTTATATATAACATTTTGAAAACCACACCATCAAAATTCAAACCCAAAAATTTTTTTTGACCTTCATAACCAGATGGAAGTGATTGAACGCAGAAAAGACGGACGTTTACCGAATGAAGTCCGAGCAACGGAGATTAAAATAGGAGTGATTCAAGGTGCTAAGGGGAGTTGTATGGTGCAAAAGAATCGTACAAAAATCATTTCCTCCGTCCAAGTCAGTTCGATCGATGAGTCCGATTTTGAGTTCAAGTGTACAGTCTCGTTCCCTCGGTTTGCTCCGGAGACCCCACAACTCAAACGTAAAGAGATTGAAGCAACGGAGGTATTAGAACAAGCTTTGAAAGGGCGTGTATTACCCGAGAACAACAGTGGGTTAAAAATTGAATTGAAGTCGTTTGTATTAGAAGAAGATGGTGGCGTGAAAGACTCTGTAATAACCTCCGGCGCATTAGCTCTCTTTGATGCAGATGTACGGATCGATGATATCATCATCGCGTCTTCTGTCGTCAAGATGAATAATTTCAAAAGGTGTTTAGTCGACCCAACAAGTCAAGAAGAAGACGACAAAGTCGGTTCTGTTCTCATCGCGTCGGTACCTTCAACCAATTCGATCACTCAAATTTTCATGTCTGGTGTGTTACAGCCAAATGACATTTCAGAGTGTTTAGCAGTAGCAATGGATGAGTGCTGGAAGATCAACGAAATCGTCCAAAAGATCCGAGAGCAACGAAAACAGAAGATGGAGCAGTGATTGATTTAGTTCGTGTGGTATTAGTATATTTATAATACAATTAATTAGAACAAATAGTCCTAGTGTTATATTTCTGTATTATAATAAATAATACATTTTATTATAATTATATAGTTTAATGATGCAAGTAATGTTCTGTTGCCATCCTGAAACTGATCCAAAAATACCACTTTGGATCATCGAAACTGGATCTTTATTATACAAAGGTAGCAATGCTCCATTGCAGAATATTAACAGTAGGCGACGACAAGGCGAAAAAAGTACAACTTCTTACGGCGTTCAAAGAAGGGAAGTTGTCTCAGGACTACAACCCAAGCTTCTTTGAGAACTCAACACGAGTGTTAACGATCGACGGGACACAAGTTGCTGTCGACATCCTCGATTCCACTGGATTTGATATGTATTCCTCGATTCGATCGTCGTTGTATATGAATGTGGACGTTGTTCTCCTCTGTTTCTCTATATCAAATAAACCAACTTTTAGAAGCATCCAAAGCACATGGTTTCCAGAAGTTAAACACTATCTTCCAACAGTCCCAGTCTTCTTGGTCGGCACACAAAGTGAAAAGCGCGAAGAAATTGGGAATATCAAAGGACGTTTGCAATCGACTAAAGCGGCTTTGGAGTTATCCAAAAAGATGAAGGCTGTCGAGTATATTGAATGCTCTGCAAAGACGGGACAAAACGTTCAATACCTCTTCGAGAACGCAATCCGCCAAGTCTTCCCCAATAAGAGGGTCTTATCAAACACTCAACAAAAGAAAGGAGAGTCGTTCTGGGTCATCTACGTTCTTGTCATTGTCTTCTACATTCTCTTCATCGTCTTTCTTCATTAAATCTCTAACTAACGTGTCTGTCTATCATGTTGTCATCGTTGATACTATTATATATTATAATAGTATATATAGTATTATAGAACTATAAATAAACGAAAAACAAAAAGCACTCACATCCCAAAAAAGTCCATGTTCTTGAGCATCTTTGTTGAATCATTTTGTTTGGAATTGTTCTTAATTCTGTCACACTTAATGCCTTGATACAAAATGTACGCGCCTCTATCAAATTTCTTCCTTTCACGGATGAGGTGAATTAAAACGTCTTCGGGCTTGATCTGTTTTGTTGGCTCATCGAGACGAATTTTATAGGTGAGCTCGAGAATAAACTCGATCATAAGCTGCTCGATCAACTCGATGGTCTCGTCTGTGCAGTTCTCGTCGCCGTTGGCCTTTAAATACTCTTTAACTGTTCGTCAATCTCAATCTCGACCTCTCATCGTCTCAAATCTTTTTATGATTTTTACAATTGCGTTAAATTAAAAAAAACAAACTCGACTTGCTGAACGTTCCACGCGCATAAACTCGTCTTGACTTTTGTGTTTTGATTTCTTCTGAGCCGTTATCATCATCAGCCATTTTTCTCTTTTTTTTAATTCTTTTTAAAAAAACAAAAACAATTTTACAAAAAAACTTATCAAGTCGGTCTTTAAACATTATTTAGCATGTTTTATGTATAAGTAATGGAATATTTCGGGAAATTATTATCAAAAAACATCTCATTGTTTCAGTTTTTTCCCTGTTTTCCTTAATGCCCGTTTTTTATACAAAATTCAAGTCATTTTTTGTTCACCACATTTAAGACTAAAATTAAGACGAGACAACATTAAAAAACTGACTCAATCCATTGAATAAATTTTGATTAATGGTGGAATGAAAGAAAGTAAAACAGTTGAATAAAAGAGGGATGGCAAAGTAAAAGAAAACGAGTCACAACTCGTCGATTGTAGCGAAGAGGTCGTCGAATATTGTGAAAATGTCGTTAGCCTTTAGTTTGATGTTGTTGAACCTTTCAGCGAGTTGGTGTGGGATTGAAGGGAATGTCTTAATGATAGCCTCGGTGGTTGTGTGTGCTGTTGCGGATGGATTCCGTTCAAAAAGAAAAGCAACAAGACCAGCGGCAGCGTCGCGTGGGTCGCAGATGTGGAATTTTGCTGCGTTGCCAACAACAGTAGCGATGAGTGAGCCCGTGTTAGAAGCGAGGAAAGTGTCTGCCTCACGAATTGGTGACATGAAGAGATAAGTTTTGAGGGTGTTGATAGCTGCGATGTAAAGTGAAGAGTATGATGTTGCAGTGAAGTGGACAATCCAATGTGGAAGAAGTGAAGCGAGTTGTGTACGTTCCAATTTTGCTCTACAGTTGTCGGTGATAAAGAGTAGTATACGAGTAACGATCTCCACAACATCATAGACAGCGTCGACGTCTTGTGAGTAAATCCATTCAACAACGGGAATAAGAAATTGTTGTGCGATTGTGACGATGTTGATTGATGAATTTGATAAGAATGTCATTGATGTTGCAAGACGGAGTGCGCGAAGTGTGAAATAAAGAATCGACACAAAGTTACTGATATGTGACGATGCCCACCATGATGTGGCGCGGTTGACAAATTCAGTGTAACATGTGGTGATGTTGTCACCTATGAAAAAGAGTGTGTCTTGAAGAAGACTTGTGATTGCGCTAATTGCACTTGGCGCACCAGAACTGACTGCTTTCACTATAACACTGTCACAAACACGCACTATCGCGGTCGAATACTCCATCACGTTGATGCGCTTCTCAAGAACCGTTCCATACAACACCCATGCATTGACAACCGCGGCGTACACACTGCACTCAACAGGTGTTGTTGCTTCCCCAAGTTTCGTGATTGCAGGCAAAAGGTATGCACGCAACGCAGCACACTGGACAGACAAGTTCTGTCTGCGGAGAAGAAGAATATACCCACGGATCATTTGCGAATACCCATTTGTCCCGACACGCCACTGATTCACACAATTTCCGTAGATCGCCGAAAACACACGATCAATTGTTGCAAACGACGGTGTAAACTCTACCGAGCACGCGTCGCAGATGTTCATGAAAGAAAGACACGCAACATCAACAAGTGACGTAACACACAAAAAACGCATCACATACTCCAAAGCACGTACTGAAATGTCTTGAGCATAACAATGCATCCAATCACAATGCCGACCTACACATGCAACTGCGGCATGAAGGAGGTAAGCGTCCCCATCAACTATACTCAATACACGAAGAAGAATGCGGTGTACCTGCAAAACACACTGCGCATCAGACTCAGTCACACGCACTAAACACCGAAATATAAATATTGCGGCTTCTACACGTTGCCATTCACAACCACTACACAAAACACTCTCAACACCACTCAGTAGTCGTTCAACACCACAAACACTCGACACACATCGCACAGCTTCAACAACACAGCCCTTTCGACTCGCACAAAATCTGTCTGTCTCACTCTCATCGTTTCCACTCGGTATCACAGCTTGAACATTCAAATACCCATTGTACACTCCATACAACGACTCACCCACATGTTCGCAGAAACAATCATACACGTTGCTGCTTGCACGATGACTCACACCATTCACAACTTCAACTATACACCGTGATACACATTCACTCACACACTCGCTCTTTGTCTGACAGAGAACACTGACAACACCAAAATAACTTCCAACATCAATCCATTCAAGGCGACCACAATACAGCGCAACTATCTTCCCAGCACAGCACGTCATGTCACACACTATATTCACCATCTCCTCACTCGTGCACCGAGATGCGACACCCCGAAATTCACTCATTATGTGTCGAAGAATACGCAACCCACAATTGAAACTCACATCACTCTCTATCTCACCCTCTATGCAATTTACACACGACACAAGAAGATCACACCCACTACTCATACATCGACTGTAACTCATCGCAACAACACCATCTACACCACATCCAACTATCTCACTCACATGCACACCGACATTTGTCACCCACACAACAAGGCACTCGACACCCACATTCACATTACTATTCGCAACACAATACCGTAGCACTGTCTCGCTCACGCACCGAAGTGCATCGACATATTGTCGCAATTTCACATCATCAACCGTCACTGCACGACGAACACACTCCCCAAGGCTGTACAGCACATTGAGTCCAACACTGACTGGAACATCACGCTGCGTGTAAACACCCACCAAACGAACAACAACATCACGAACACCCTCACTATGAACAACCACCTGGGAAAGTGCTCGGCATAAGTGCGCAACAACCGCATTCCGACATCGGTGCGTCGACAAACACCCCTCAATAAACGTGTAAATGTCACCACTTGGTGGTATCACACCGTTCCTCACCTGCCTCTCAAGCGATATTGCACCATACAAAATCTCCTCTTCTCGCATCCCATCTCCCTGTCATACTTTTTTCCTTACCGACACCGTTTGCAACAGAACAACAAACTCCCAGCAAGAAGCAACGGAATCAACTCCCAAACACACGGCATATTCATCAACCCACGGAGGTACAAATCCGCACACCTTCGTTCACTCTCGCTCACACTGCCTCCATACAGTACACGGACTGCCTCATGCACCTTTTCCATCACTATTTTGACTTTATAGTTTTGCGTTTAGAATGTTTTACAAATTTAATGGTATTTCTCATTTATTCATTTTTGTAAAAAAATTACTACTAATTTGAGTTCCACAATAACAAAAGACAATAACAACATTATTGAAGAACAGAACCACCTGAATTACAACTCATCGTTTTTCTTTGTGGAAGATGTGGAGCGCGAAGAAGACAAACACGTCAAAGGCAACGAGAAACCCCGCCAACACAAAGTAGTTGACCAAAATCGATGATGATATTTCCATAGTGTCAAGGTACTTTTCCCCTGTTGTGTATGGACATTGCCCACCAACCAATTCGTTTGGCTGACAATACAGTGTGAGTCCATCAAATTGGCTCAACATAATCAACTCGAATGCGTACCTCATCCACGACAAATAATACGCCCACATCCAGAACCCGATGATGTTCTCCTTTTGAATGAAAAAGCCGGTGAATATCATCAAAACGACAATCACTATTGGCGCGATGATTTGCGCGACGGTCACGTTCGGCGATATTGTTGAAATGGAGTAGAACATCCCTTGTGCTATTAACGTAGCTAATACAAGACACCCCCACATACACAACCAGTTGACAAAACCTGGTCGTAAGTTGAGCATTGGATATGCTATGGCCAAGTATATAGTCGGGTATAATATCAAAAACGGTAAACTATGTAACATGTAAGCGAAAAAATAGGCGGCTGTTGTGTATAGCCCTTTCCCGCTCTCTCTCCTCATCAAAGTCCTTTCCTCGATAAATTGGACCAAATAATCCATCAACGACATTGCCTGACTTGTCACAATGAAAAACAACACGCCGCTTTTGTCTCGAATGCCCTGTTGATCGTTTTTGATATCGAAAAAGATGGACCCGATCAACAACGCAAAAAAGATCTTCGCGAAGATTTGGCCCAATATTTGGGAGGGGTCTCTTTTGTCCGAGACTATCAGCCGTTTGTACAGTTCGTAGAACCCAACAGGTCTTCCAAAGTTGCGTTTCATCTTTTCCATGTTAATGCTATTGAGTTCTTCTATTTGTTGATTGATCTCTTCTTTATGTGCGTCAAACACTTTCTGAATGCTCCCCTTTTCCCCTCCTATGTTTTCAGCAAGAAGTTCCTTTCCTTTCTCGTTTCCAGTCTCGTACGCTGCCGCGTCCATCATTGCGTCTGCTATGTTGTCGTCTGTGTGGAATCCTGCTTCTTGTAAAAATCCGGGACATTGCTTTGGTGAACCAAAGTATATCATTTTGCCTCTGTTGAGCATAATGATCTTCGTGAACTTCTCGAAGATGAGTGGGCGTGGCTGATGAATAGTACATATGACAGTAGTACCTTTATTTGACAACTTCTGCAGTGCGTCGACTACTGCCAAAGAACTGAACGCATCAAGTCCCGTCGTTGGTTCATCAAGAAACAAAATTGATGGGTTCGTCACTAACTCGCACCCAATCGAAACTCTTTTCTTCTCACCGCCACTGACTCCACGCCGTTTCTCTGTTCCAATGATTGAGTCTCTGATCTTAGTTAAGTCGAGTGTGTCCATGACTTCCTTCACTATTTGTTCTCTCTCCGTCTTCTTCGATGCGACAGACGACTTCAACGTGGTGTAAAACGTTAAAGCCTCTTCGACAGTCGATGTGCCCATTAAGTAATCTGTTTGTGAAACATACCCAATCGACCTCTTATAGTGTTTCACATCTCTGTTATTCACTAAGACCTTCCCTGTGGTCGATCCACGTTTAGATATACCGGCAAGTATATCAAGTAATGTCGACTTACCAGCACCACTCCCACCCATTAAAGCAACTAACTCACCAGCACCAATGACTCCAGATACATCTTCTAAGATCTTTTTCTTCTTGTAAGTGATGGGGAGTTTCTTTTCTTTGAAAAAGTTCTTATTGAAGCCCAATTCGTTGATGGTGTAGTTGATGTGGCTAAAGGTTAGTATGACTGGGTAGGGCTGGACCTTGGCTGGTGTGACTTCAAAAACCTTTGGTTCTAATTCTTGAATGTCTTCTGAGTCGTGCGTGTGCGGGGACTGAGACTGTTCTTTGGAATGCATGTATGATTTTTGAAGTGCGCACTTCGTCCAAATGCCATTTCTCAATGAAAGGCAACACACAGCAAGAGTTCACTTTCCATTTCGTTTTAGTCTGGCTTTTTTGAGTATTTGGTTCGGAATACTATACAAATAATAACTAAATGGTATTGTTACTATCATTTTGTCAGATATATAACAAGCAAACATGTCGCAAGTCAGGGCTTTGATTTGTTGAGGCGACAAAACTCCTGTTGTCTACTTGTGTTTGAAATAAAGGAGATAAGAAACTATAGTATTCTGGTATTATTAACCGATAACTATAGTTATTAGTTAAATTACTAATGTGTATAAATTTACTCGTTTAATTTCTTCGAAAGAATGAGGTAACGGGCGTGTTATAACTTTTCAGAAAAGTTCAACACTTGGCTGAAATTTTTAACAATCCACTTGTCAAACAATAATTAAACATTATTAATAATAATATTACAAAATATGGTTAAGAACTAAATTTTGTAAATTTGTTGAAATTAATCAGTTCTTCAAGAAAATGTCAAAGAAAATGATGTTTCACAAAGATCAAAAATGGAATGTGGCGCAAAAAGACAATTTGGTAATAACAAAAAATGAATAACAAGAATTGAGCGAAGAACAATCACTTGATACTAAAGACTAGTTTTCGTAATGGTAAAAAAAACAAGAAAATGCAAGTCTTTCATACCACCCAAAAATACTTAAAAACCGACTAGCGAACTTAATAAAAAACTTTAAAAACTGAGAGTGTAATGGCTAAAGCAAATTCCCGAATCGCCCGTTTATCGCAAATGTTTGAGCAGAAAAACGAAGAAGAGAAGCACGTGGTGACTCTCGACGAGTTGAAGTCGAAGCGTAAACTTCCTCCTCATCCAAATAAAAAACTTGTTGTAGACGAACCTAAAAAGGAGGATGTAATTCCTTTGGAGGAGTTTGACGATGACGTCGAATACGAGGAGGAGGTTGTATTTGTACAACACAAAAAGGGGAAATAAAACAAAGTGTGTGAATTTATAATCAAATGCATTTATTCTTCATTTTAAATAATACACCAGCAATGCGACAACTCCCCCAACAAGGCAGAGCACAACAATCAAACAGATCACTATCATCACCCACAGCTATGTGTTATTTTTGTTGTTTAATAATATGAATGTATGGTACTACAAACCTTCGCATTCTTCCACCAATATTTCTTCTTTAAGACAACTGACTGCTTCTGAAACTTTTGTGCGTTGATCGTCATCTCGCGCGTTTGGTCTTCAAGCTCCTCGGCTGTCGAGATGTTCTTTGTGATCAGCTCGACGTTCTTCTCCATTGTGCGCCTGGTGTTGTCTAATTGCATCTTAATGCGCTCTTTCTGCGACTCAAAGTAGGGACTCTTCACAACAACTCTGTGTATTAGTTCATTGCTTTGATGTTAATATAACAAACGGAAACATCACCTTGTCTTTCCCCTCACTTCTTGCACCCTTTTATTCTCCGTTGTCATGTTGTCATTTCAGATTGACAAGTTGAGATTCAATCACACATGTATTTATCATTTGAACCTTTTTTAAAGTAACTT